TACTTTGTCCTCTTAAAATGTTCAGCTTTTCTTGATAGCTCGGAAGTTTAACAAGCATGTGACAGCTGGGGCCTATTTTCATCCATGATTTTTTCCATCACTATGCTCTTTCAACATTCCGATGTTCCATGTTAAATTTCACGCTAAACTTAGCAAAAATTGTTATTGTCCCAATAGAAACTCCCAAGCCCTGTCACTACAAATCTTTATCTGTTGTGATCCTGAAGGTGATACTCAATAAATGAGGAGTCATATAAACCAAACGCAGCCCGCAGCTCCTGGCCGACATTTGCATGACCATGATGCTGTCCAGGGGCCAGGCGGTTAAGGCGGGAGGTGGTGGTTGTTGCTGTTGTAGGACTCGGAAAAGCTGCTGGTCCACACTGCTGTTGACGCTGAGGAGTTAAATCCCTTACAGCCGCGCTCAAAGCGCTAAGAGTCGCCTGAATTTCGTCCAAGGTTGCTGCTTGCACTTGATCTCCAGACATTTTATACACCTTATGACAACGGGAACCTTGACAACGCTAACATGACGACACGGCGGTCACGTGCGTACACGCCAATAATGATAACTTAACTGGCGCCATCTCTTGTCCATTGAAAAATATGAATATATTTGTTAAACACAAATATATTTTGTAAAAACGAATATAATGAAACACGAACAAATCTGATGTAGAATAAAAGACAAATATTGTAAAAGACAAACAAATTAAACAAACGTGGATTTATTTAATTTATTTCGGTTTAAAAAGACATATAAATATACATGATTCAAAGGTCCAAAGACCAAAACTGTTCATGTTTACAAATTATACAATACGGTTATAAATACAGTAAATATACAATAGTGAGCCAAACGAAAGGTATGACAAGTACAATACGAAATAAAGATGACAAAAATAATACAATTCCATCAATACAATACCAAAATAAACTAAGAGAAAGTAGGGTCAAGATCATAAAATTACTAAGCTGATATATGGTAATGGTAGCAGATAAACAGACAAAAGTAATGTTGAGCAACCAAACAATCAAAGAAAAAAGGGGGAAAAATATTTTGAAGATAGGCAACGATAAAAGCCTTAAAACCTGAATTAACATAATTACGTTTGAGTTGATAAGATAACCACACAGAAATATATATATTACAAATTGGAATCGACTTTAAAAATTAGTTATACAATGCCATTATTAAAATATAACGTACACCAAATTGTGAATGTGTCAATTAAAAGATTCTGAGGAATAAGGCAAGAGGGAGAGAGAGATAGAGAGAGAGATAGAAAGATGATAGAGATAGAGACAGAGAGAGAGAGAGAGAGAGAGAGAGAGAGAATCAAGGCTTATTAATTGCACGAACAAGAGAAGGAACAGCAGAATTTTGATATCGGCTAGTCCTGCACCTAGGAATGACCAAACCATGATTATTACGGAGGGGGCGAAAATTGGGCAAGGAATCTTTAGATGGTGGAAGTAAGTCTCTGTGTCGGGACGTCAGTAACAAGTGGGCAAACTTAGCATCAAGCTCTATTCTTCTTGCTTGAAGGGAGGGCAGATTTAGACTCTCTAGCCTTTCATCATAGGTGAGTGGGGTGAAACCGAGAATGATCTTGGTCACACGTCTCTGAACTCTCTCAACTTTCTCAGATTTGAAATGGAAATATTTACAAGACAAACAAATAAATATGTAATGAAGAAGAGGGATATAATTTCAAGACGAAAATATTGAAAAGGTGAAAATATTGGATAGATGAACATATTAAAAAGATGTATCAATTAAAAAGACAAATATAGCGATAAGATGAACATATACAATGATGAATATATTAAAAAGATTAACATATTAAAGATGAATCATTAAAAAATATAAATATTAAAAAGACAACAATTTTTAAATGTATAAATCAAAAGGACAGAATTATCGAAAAGATGAATATATTGAATAGATGAATATATTAAACAGATGAATAAATAAAAAAATACTAAATATATAGTGATAGGATGAACATATACAATGATGAAAATATTAAAAAGACGAACATATTGAAAAGAAGATTAGAATGAAAGCTGAATATATTTATTCAGAGATGAAGATAAATACAAGGGATGAATATATTCCCTTTGGCTTGCCATAAGCGTGACCGATGATCTCCTGTTGTACAGGGCATCTTAACTTCTTTAGACGTTGTTTACGAGGGGGTGGTGATGTTGATGTCCTTGTCTTTGGATTTAAAAGAATATCACTGGAATACCAGCTCTTCTTCCTACCGTTGACAAATAAGATGGTCTCGCATCCAGTATGGCCACTATGAGATGAGTCAACAAAATATATACGGTAAAAGAAAGACCCAAAAGAAAAAAAGACAACAAAAAAAGGAAAAAAAGAATCCGTCATAGATAATGATGCAGGGGCAGAAAAAAAAACCTTATAAAGAGAGAGAGAGAGGAGAAACTACATTAAAAACTAATCAAAATAAAGTTATAAAAGTTTCAAATGTTTTTTTAAAAATTTATAAATGACAATAAAAACTGTAAATCTGAGAAGCTTAATTTCATTTTCCTGCAAGTATTGTAATATCTCTCTTGGTCTGAAAATAAATTATAATTTCAATACATGGATTAAGATGTGGGAAACAGGTTCACTATAACGGGAGTTTCTTTTAGCTATGAGAGACTTTCCACGATTTATACTAAGAGAGACACTTTGTGACACACCCCCCTGGCTAAGTATTTTACCCTAAATCTAAAACGGCTTCCTACCCTACCTTTTCTTACGCAGTCATCATTTACTGCGCAAGATTGTGTTAGCGTGCATTTAATGTGTGACGTAGCAATTCTTTATTTGCCATGAAGTCGGCTTGTGAAAGTAAATTGCGTAAATGTGAACTGAATACGAGTTAGGTCATTTTTCTTAGCTAAAAAATAAAAGTTTTACTTAAACAAAGTATTGAATTGAATACCGGCTCAGAAGCTCAATTGGTTGCTCAACATACAAAATTGGTCATTTTCCTCTTCCATAAATTCAAATTGTGATTATTAGATACACTATAGAGAATGTCCTCATATTTCATGTTGGTCAAATGTATTTAGCTTGCATGGTATATTTGCTCAGGAAAAAAAATATTCACAAAGAATTCTAAATCATTGAATCGAGGTTTTGTAGAGTTAGAATCAAGATTTCAATCAAAAAGAACAAAATTTGTTATGATTTACAATTCCAAACTACCATTAATCGGTTTATTTTAGCTTATAGTGGAACTTGTAGAATGTGAAATTTGTATTTATATCCTCATCAGTTCTATATGGATAGAGCTTGTGTATTATGTCTGTATTGTATTTCATTTTTATGTTTCAATCATTTGAATATGATTTTTGTAATATTTCAACATGATTTATAAATGCAGTCTTTGCTGTGATGTGAGTTAAGACTTATTATTGTGTCAAAATTATGTATACCGGTATCTTTATTTTCTTCTTTTTTAACGAAAAAATCTTAGTCATTGTTTGATGCATCTGTTAGAACAATATTTCAAATTAGGTGCCTATAGATTTGTGTTTCATAATTTTACATTATTAGTTTGTTTTGGATATTTGTAATTTTGATTTTGCTGGTGCAGTATCATAGATGCTAATAACATACAATTCATACTTTTGATAAATATTGTACAAAATGGTTGAAATGGGTCACCTCCAACATGAAACAAAATCATTGAATAGAAACATGTTTGTTATTTGTAATATGCTTGTAGATTGTAGAACTGTTCTACCCTACAATGTATATTTGTTTCTGGTAAATTTATTATGGTGTATTTAAGTCTTTGAAATTTTGTTTGTTTCTGATTTTACTGCTTGTTTGATGTGCATGTGCAGTATTTGCTCTTAGTTAGAAAATAATTTGACAATTATTAAAAACTGAAATGTTTTGTGTTTCGTACTGATATGTATATGTTTCCTGCATCACCAATCCACTATCAAAACACATGTAAATTTTTCACAAGCTTGCCAAATGTATGAATTTGTAATATATCATTGAACTATATTTATACATGTATATATTTGTTACAATTTTTTGTAGATTTGAGAAAAATAATTAATCCATTTTTGTGTTATGTACAGGTAGGTCAAATGACTATATATCATCAATGTCAAATCTTGAATTTTTGAATTGGTTTTAGAGGTACACATAGCCAAATATATTAACTTACATAGTGTGGTCAATGTACGGTATGTTGTATTATTGTATATTGTATGTTTTGTAACATAATAAAAAGGTAAAGGTTATGGATATTGAAATATGTGTATTTCTATTTTATTTGGTGTGTTACAGTGTACATGTACCTATCAAATTTTAATGTATGGAAACACTTTTTTTCCCTCCAGATGTACCGGTAAACGTTCATAATGTACAAGACAGGATAATGATTCCTTCACATGTATATTCCTTAGATAATACAGAATTGTTCAATTACTCACAAAGCAACTTGCAAGCACAAGTACTATGTATTCATGATTTAAGAGCTGATGTGGGTGGGGGTGGAGGGAGCTCCACACACACAAAAGTGCTTTATAAGGCTATTTCCTGTTGTAAATGATTTGCAACATTGATATGAGAACTTGATAATCAAGTAGTATTTGTCACAGTAAAAGGTGTACTTTTGCTATTGGCAAATGACCTGCAATAATCATGAAACCATGATAGTGAGTGAGAGTTTTAAAAAAAGAAAGGTTTTAGTGAACAGTAAAAACAAAAAAGTTTTAGAAATCCAAGTGCTTGCGCAAGGCGTTACAAGCAAGTCGTGAAAAAACGGCACCTCTTCCCCATAATTTCAAACCAGATTTACATTGATCTAAGGGACCATTTTTTTAAAAATCATAAATTAACAACAACAAAAGAATCCCCCCCCCCCCCCAAAAAAAAAAAAAAAAAAAAAAAAATTGGGTAAAAAATCAGGAAAAAACAAATACACACTCACAAACAAAATTTCTGAACACATTACCTGTCTTTAACTTTCATGGTTTTATTTCTTGATTATCTTCTTCATACAATCATATCCTCTTCATCATCAATCAAACCAGATTTCCATACAAAAAGTTTCTTAGAAACCAAAGAAAAATATTACTGACAAATTAATTCAGCATAATTAATGTACAAGAAAATATGGAAGCAACTTAAATGGTGCATCATGTTCAAGAGCATGAAAACAAACAAAAGAATTGTGAACCTAAATGTGTCTATAGATCAAGTTATCATATGAAACTAATGAATATTCATAAGTACAAACCTGAATATGTAATAAAAACAAATAGAAAACTGAAAATGACACTGTTCAGAATTCACACCATGCATTATTTTGGAGAGCTTACCATAGCATGATTTAGTTCGTTTACTGCTCTAGCTCTTTCTAAAAAGGTAGTGGATCATTTTGTTTATTCTCTCTCATGAAATTTTAGGGTAAACTATTTACAAAGCTTGTAGACATGATCAAACACATGTCAACATTAATTTCAAATCTGTTATTCATGTCCCATGGTTGCATACAACAAGTACATGTATTACAAAATATTTAAATATATATACATACAGTTTATGTCAGACAGTGTTACATGACATATCCCATTCGATTGAAATTACCGCCATTAGTTTGGATGACTTACATTCACACTAGCATGCATAAGCTTTTATAGCAATACTACTACTGTATTAGCCGTTGTTTTTGCAAGTTTTTGTCAGTTTGCTTATGGGCTGGAAAAGAATGTGCGAACATGTGCTGTATTAATGAAGCCTCTGTTAATCATCACAAGAACAGCTACTAGCATTTTGAAAATGTCTGTACATGAAAATATCAGCCTATACAGTAATTGTTTCGATACAGTCTTCATGTTGAAAGGAAAAGATTAAAATCATAATCTTTCAAATTGCTTTAAACATCCCGATACATGCCAAGACTTCCATAAATGTACATGTATAAGACAATCTGCTCTGATGCATAGAGTGAGCTTCGATGTTGTGTTTGCTCAAAGGTTGTGTGGCATTGTCTTGATGTCAGACTTAACACCAACACCAAATTATGCCTTGCATCCTAGATAGCTCAACACTTTCACACCAACATCTACATGACTGTATATAGAAGTGTAAACTCCGGTGTCGGTGTCAGCTCAAAGATACAGATACAAAACTTAACAAATAAATTTACAGAAAAGTTTGTAAATAGGTTTAATTACAGAAATTTTTCTGTATGCACCACACCTTCTTGTACGAGCCATATTTCACAATGTTGTACACTTTTACACTACATCTCAGTGAATGTATATCCATCATAGATTCCGGTGTTGAGTATCACCTCCAAAGTATTGGCATTAGTTTGAAGTCTAACTTTAATATACGTAACACTTACAGGAAGCGATGCAACACATCTGAAATCATACGTATTAGGCTACACTTACACCTAATTAACTGTAGAGGGATCAACTCAGATGTTTTATGTACCGGTAGCTAAATGAAGTGACAATGTTTAGTAAATCAAACTAACACTTCTTTGCATTTACACCAGCCACATCTGAAGTCTTCTACAGCAGACGTTTGTTCATAACCTGTGTATATACAGTACACTCCGGTGTATAGTTTAAGCATGAAATTAGTAGCATTGTTACGCAGTCTTAATATACACTGAATATACACTAAACTTGAAAGTGCATGGTAAATGTACACATTTACACCTAGCACCTCTTTCCTCCTGCCGCCTTAAAGAATAATCATATCGTTCTCAAACAAATATTGTACAATCCTTTCGAATGCTCGACATTTTACAATGCTGGCTTACTCCAAAACTCGAAGTATAATATGACAAAGCTCAACTTCATAAGCAAATACTAATCCCTTCTAAATGATGAAAAATAACGACTTAAAAAGCATAAGTGCAGAAACACTATAGCGGTCGATATCTGTCCATATTCAATTCTTCATGCAACATTAGAGAAGAAAAAAAAATTGTGACATAAATTTTTCAAATTATCATACACTACAGGCAATGAGAGAGTGCATAATTCAACTCATTGAAATTGATTTTCATTTTCTACATGTTGTTTTAAATTCATGAAGTAAATATGGCACAGTGAGCTATAACGCATGATGGAGTCTTCAGTCTTGTAATCAAAACAAAACAAAGGCTTTGGTGTGTGAAGTCCTCCATGTTCTCCCAGTTTTAGGTGTAGGTCTTTGGGCCATGTTAGCAATGGGAACATGTTAAGCACTGTATTTATCCTCGCTTCAAGAACTAAAAAGTAGAGATCTGCTTTGGCCGAAAATACATTTTGGGTTGGAGCAAACTTGCAAATAATCCTTGTGACTGTTAAGGGTTTGTTTCAGGATGAAGAAAACACTGCAATGTCAACAGACAAGTGTCTGTTTTATAGGCCCAAAGAAAGCAGACAGTAACATGATGTTGCATCATATGCAACTACATATAAATGCCTGTTATGGGGCTTAAACTGGGATTTAATTGAGCCAAAACTTCTTCCACGATCCTTAATCCATTGACAAGAACACCCAAGCCACATTCAAATTTCTTCATAGATGAGGGGCTTCGAATCCCCACCTCACTGGCTTGGTTCAGGAGTGTTTGAGATAAACATGGGGCTGGGTGCTGGGCTTCTAATTGGTCTGCTGGCATTACTTCAATCAAATCTCTTCGTCAATAAGGGGTGTTGAATCCCCACCTCCCTGGCTGGGTGCAGGGGTGTTTGAGATGGACATGGGGCTAGGTTCATGCAGGGCAGGGCTGGGTGCTGGGCTTCGCATGGTCTGCTGACGTTGTTTGGCCCACAGGGCAGCTTGCTGGGCCCAGTCCACTTTGGCCGAGGGACGTGGCATTTCACGTGGCATTTCACGGGGCATTTCACGGGGCATTTCACGTGGCATTTCACGGGCACTGCTGCTACCACTACTCCTGCGAAATAAAGGGAAGACAAAATTGTAGTTGTATTCATCTTTAAAAGAGAAGGATGAGTTCTGGGGAGAGGTGAAAAATAATTTTTGGAAGAACATCAGAAAAAAAGGTTCCCTGTAAAGCATGGCTTTTCAAATGCCTTGCAGCCTTAACTACATATCTTTAATGATATGCACATCACTTGGAAGCTACCATACTATACTAAATCAAATTCCACTCAGGCAATCACTTTATAAATGTAACGTGACAATTTAAAGGCCATCTGTACTAGTGTAAAGGAGGGATTAGACCACCCTGAAAGGTCACTGGAAAGGTGGCTATCTCATCAACTCAGCTCTCAAATAACATAAGAAAAAGAGGATCATGGGGGACCGATGGTCAACGATTAGGCATTGTTTGTTATATAGAGGGCACAAGTAGCTACAAGTAGTACAGTAGGGCTTTAAACAAAGATGGGTGAGCGCTCATTCATACCTCTGTGGGGTCCTTCCAGCACTCCTCTGGGGCACCACCTGCTGCTGTTGTGAGGCCTGCTGCTGCCGCTGTGAGGGCTGCTGCTGTGAGGAACCTGTAGGTGTGCTCCCACCCCATGACTGGCGAGGGGTGGTACGAGATTGGTACTGGGGTGTGCCCTGGGGCGTGCCCCCCATGGTAGGGGTCCGGGCGGGGTTGATCTGGGGGGTCCTGTTCACCTGTGGGGTGCGAGTCTGAGGAGTTCGCATACCCTGCTGAAAGAGATAGAGAGATGAGAAGTCATTCTCAAATATCAAACTATACAGATCTGTATTACTAACAGGCTAATGATCAAACAATATTACTTTTCATTCTAAATATGTTACATTGTACGATTCTCATACTATTATACCTTGTGAGAGACAAGGAAATGGGAACTCAATGTCAGTATCAGAGTATACCTGGGCCCCGTCTTACAAAGGGTTGATATCAATCGCAGCTATGTATATAAGAGAGATAGGAGACCGCAAACTTGCAATTGATTTGGATCAATCGCAACTCTTTGTGAGACAGGGCCCGAATGACATCAAATATATTAATATTAATACCCACAGACGGACCAACTAAAATGATATATCTATATTCATAAAAAAGTGCTATGCATGGTGTATGACATTTGTGTAGGCTAATTACACCACAATCCTCTCACTCCAGCAAAGCATAGTAGTCAATGCTTATGCGTATTTATCTCTAGTGCTGTATACGTGCTAAGAGGCATCAATTACACACAATACACACATTGCACACAATTGCACACTATGAATATGAAGTGGCTGATCGGCAAGTTTGACAGTAGACTCATGATATGAATTTGAACAGTAAGTTGAAAAGATTGTATATCATTTCAATGCTATTTGGGTGTCATCAATTGTCACTAAAGTACCGATTTTGAGTTTTGTACAGTGGTGTTTTAAATGTTGAGAGTCAATAGAGGATGCTAAACAGTTTTTAATACACAAAAAGTATACTAATGCTGCTATGTGTGAATGCTCTCACCTGGTAGGAAGGCGTGCCACCAACAGGTGTAGTGATGTTCTGAGGTGTGGTGTAGGGGTAGCCGCCGTACCCGTAGCGGCTTCCTGCTGCTGCACCTGTCAAGGGTGTCTGGCGGCCTGGAGTCTGGCGAGGGGTACCTTGTAGCACACTGGGCGTGGCATACATACCACCGGTGAAGGTGGTACCGGTCTTCTGGATCATGGGTGTGCCCGCTGCAGTAGAGAAAGATAAAAATAACAAAAATTATAAAAAATTAATATGATATTGAACGCAGAATTTCATAAAGATATTAATGTGTTAAAATGTTAAGAGGAAGTAGGAGGTCTTGTAATTAATGATGTTTCCTCGTTACTGAGTTTTTGTGAACTACATTCTAGTATTCAATCACACGCTATAAAAAGCACAACCCAAATTTGCTCATATTAAACTGCTTGTTGCACATGTGCTTGGGACTTGTAGCTTGAATTTGTTATCTTTCATGACTTAGTACTCGGCTTTCATACGTAAGCCACCCAGAAGTAAGGTTTAAAGCCTGTCTGCACAAGTTTTGCCAGGAGGGATTAGACCTCCCTGCATGGGTGGTTATCTCATCAATTCAGCTCTCAATTAACATAAGAAAACAGGATCATCTGGGACCAACGGGTACCACTTAGACATTGTTTGCTATATAGAGAGTGCAAGTAGCTACAAGTAACGCAGTCCTGCTTTAATACTTACTCTGCCATGGAGTGCCATCATGGGCCACAGACATAGGTGTTCGGTGAGTACTCATTGGTGTTGGTGTCACATTCATGCCTGAAACAAAATGACAAAAACAATAAAATTCATTCACAAGGAATATCATAAAGTGGCTATTTACAGCAAATTATTTTGTCAGATTGAAAAGAGCCAATACATCAAATCATACAATTGTTGGCTGAAAATTAGATACGCTAGGATTGTGGGTTTGAAGATTGTGATTCAATGACAATTTTTGAAAGTCACAGAGACAAGCAAACTCATTTAGATTTTCACACATTTCATTAAACAAATTAAAACAGAACAAGATGGCAGATCATTTCCCCCACACAGATACACGGATATAATCAGTTAAAACCGTTTTCTTTATCATCTCTAAACCTGAGGCGGAACCAAGACCTGAGTCCATAAAGACATGTACAGATATTAATCTTATTTATCAAATTCTAAGGAAAATAAAATATTGCAAAAATATGACATCACTACATGGTGAAGCATAATAACAAAGACAACAACTAACTTTAGGATTGCCTATATCAACATAAATTTCTGTATAGAAGCTCTCCTCATCAGTTTCTGTTTACTGGTACAAATATACAATAAAATCATTCATCCATACTGAAAGCTGATAATTGAAGAGACCTGTGGGGTAGGGGGAGGGGGGAGTAAAATCAGTATGGAATACAATAAAAAATTTCCAAACAATTTTGGACTTTTCAGTATGTAAAGGGGTCGAGAGAGTACAGAGAGAAAGGCAAATCACCTGGTATAGGGTCCCTGAAGTGTACTTTGAACCAGCGATGCAGCGAGTTAATGGTAGTGAACGTCTGACCACGGAACTTATACCCGTCCGGTGTGATTGACACGTACTCGTGCCTTCCCTTGCTGCGTGGCTGGTAGGACAATAGGAACTTGCCTGCAAAGAAGACCAGCAAAATATCAACATTACAACATCAGATAGGCATCATATGATACAGAGTCGATATTAATTGCAACTTGTTCGTGATCGATATATCAATCGCAACTATGTACATAAGAGATAGAGGACTGTAAACTTACGATTGATTTGGATCAATCGCAAATCTTTATAAGACGGGGCCCAGGTAGACATCATATGATAAATGTTGATAGATTTCAAATTTGTAACACATTTTAGGTGCATTTTACAAGACCTTTGGTATTAGTCTCACTAATAGTATATTTGTAAAGCGCGTAGAGACATTTGTATTAAGCGCTATATAAAAATTAAATATTATTATTATTATTATTAAAAGAAAGAAAACACAAAATATTTCTAAAATTTACTGAACAATTCCAATTTGTTCGTGTTTGTCTGTTGTTAAATTGCATGTTCTTTTCTGCTTCAATAACTGTAGCAATAAGGCAATTATTATAGATTACAAGTTTTATGAAGAGGGGCCCTGATTCCTCGTACCTGGATAGTTTTGACACAAGCACATGAAGTACGGGATGCGGTTGGGCGTCTTCTTCTTCTCCGTCTGCAGGTATTTCTCCATGAGCTCCTTGCTACCGCCCTCTACGGCGTGATAGTATTTATGAGAGGTGACGTCCCGTACAAAGGCTGCCATCGGCTGGATGTGACGGGCTATGATTTCATCTAAGTCTTCAAACTCCTGAAGAATGACAGACAGGTAATAATAATAATATTAATATTATTGGGTTCTTGTATAAGCGCTCATATCTGTCATACTGTACGTGACACTCCTGGCGCTCTTGATTATTACCCTGGCTTTAGCACGGCTGCCATTACGGCGCTCTAGCATCTCAAGGAATTGATTCCTGCCAGGTACCCATTTACATCACCTGGGTTGAGTGTGGCAAATGCAGAACAATGTCTTGCTACAGGACATCATGATCGGGATATGAAATGACAGTCTTGCACTAGTTTGCCTTTTATTGCAGTTTCACATCATCTTATAGCCCTTTTTCTTCATGATAACTACATGTAGATGAGAATATTTTGTGTGTGCTATCCAAATCATATATGTACTTCATTAGGTTGCTTATATCTAACTATGGTGAAATTAGAAATAACATGATCACTGCATTTTGTCTATAACAAGAATGACAGCAAAACAGCTTAAGATCAAAGTAATAGATGGTGATGATTATGTTGTTGCTATTCATAATGATGATGATGATGATGATCGTGATGATGATGATGATGATGATGATGATGATGATGATGATGATGATGATGATGATGATTATGATGATGATGATGATGATGATGATGATGATGATGATGATGATGATCGTGATGATGATGATGATGATGATGATGATGATGATGATGATGATGATGATGATGATGAAGATGATGGTGATGGTGGTGATGATGATGATGATGATGATGATGATGATGATGATGATGATGAGAATGGTGATGATGATGATGATGATGATGATGATGATGATGATGATGATGATGATGATGATGATTATGATGATGATGGTGATGGTAGAGGCGATCATGACAACAAAAACAACATGGTATATCACTGTGATTTAGATTTATAATCATGATGACTATGATTATACTAATACATACCTCTTCTCCGATCTTCAATGTTGATCCCAAACTGAAATCATTATCTTTGCCTTCTTCTTGGACATCAATATGCTGATAGACTCCATCCTCTACCTTCCACGTGACTGTCAAATGATCAGCTCCCTATCAAATCAAATTAAATCAAATCAAATCAATCAAATCAAAACAAATCAGATCAAATCAAATCAGTATTAAAATCGCCATTACATACATGTATCTGCCAACAGTTTATAATGATAAATCTTAGTCTGAGGGCGAGGCTTGACAGAACAAGAGCACTATGGTGCTCACCCAAATCTGTCAGTTGTTTAAATAGGGACACATTTTTAACACACAAGCAAATTTCAACTAATCAACAAGTTACGATCCCATCGGCAGTTCGATATTAAAATTACATGGCCTATCTTTCAGTTACCTTGCTACTTGGTCTTATGATGACGTCCCCTACATCTGATTCTCTCATGACCTTCTCAGCTTGCTTGTAGGTGATGTTCTGGAAGGACGGGTGCACTATCACTCTCTTCACATATGCTGAATAAATGACAAATAAATAAACCATGGTAAGGTATTGTTTCTAACAATCTAATTTATGTTTACAAATTTGAATGTCTCGAAGTAAAATCAGAAAAGTCAGAAACCGAGCCTTACTATCATCTGCAATAGAAAACTAATACTTAAGTATTTAAAAATTTACCACCTAGAAAAAAATCACAAGCCATCGCCAATGACACAGGTTTATCTTTAAAAAACTTTTAAAAAACCATTACCTTTATACTGGTTATTTATGTATACTTTTTATTTCATAATTTTAAACCATGTAAAATGTATCATATTATTGAATATTGAATTGTAAATCTGATTTCTTATCAAAATTACTGTTCTGTTGGAAATGAAAAATTAAACTGAAACTGAAACTGAAACAACCTATTTGCCAATAACATGACTTACTGCTGGATGCTGCGGCCTTCTTCTTCACCTCCTCATCCTTCTGTTTGTCCATCTCAGCCGATTCATAGTCATAGTAGGTATCCCGGGGCGGGGCCCATTCTCCGTTCCGATCCTGGAGATCAGAGCTCTTGCTGGTTAGATCCACCTGGAACCGTTCAATGTCGATCTTCATGATGCGAGCGTGGAGTGTCATACCGATCTGTGTAGAATTACAAGAATGAATAGATGTAACCTACATGTAGGACTGGATACATGGATACACAGGAATATCACATATAAATTGATCCACTATACAAGTCCAACATAGTGCCACATTACACTTTAATTTCAAATTGTCTTTGAGTAACCTGTCACTGGACATTGGTCATTTGACCGGTCAGCCTTACCTTGACCCTGTCCTCTGGATTCTTGACCTTGCTGTCGCTCAAGAACTTGGTGTGGATGAATCCCATGATGCCGTTGTCCAAGCGAACTTTGACCCCTACGGCCTGGCCAGGGCAGTTACCTGTGTCGAAATGGCTCCACACCTAAGAGGATGGAATTATTAAAAAATAAAATCAACATGATCCTGTGATGTGATACACCGATCGGAAATTGATCTTGGGTATTATATGAGATATTGCAATTCCACTGTAAATTATTTTGGCTGTTTGCAATCACTGTATAAACAATCTCCTACATGCTACAGCAATAAATTACTAGCCTTTAAAAAATTCCCTTGACAAGATTTTTGTGACAATGACTTGAACAGTTATCAACTGATTGTTATTAGAGAGACAGTGAACCACTTTTTGGGTTCACTAGAGGTCCCAGTGAGAGACTGCTGGTTCAACACATGAAAACATTTGTAAATCTCCGAGGAGATACATATAAGTGTTGAAATACATGTATGCATTACATATACAATCATAGAAAGAAAACAGCTGTCGATCTTCCTTAAATCTTACTTCAAATGAAAACATACCCATAGATAGAAAATCTGGTTTTTACCTCATTGAGTTCAAAGAAGTTATCCTGCTGGCAAAAGGGACATAGCCAGAGTCCTGTCTCATCGTTCTTACTAGGGTTAGCATCATCTAACATCTCCCTGGTGGGTCTTCTCCTTGCAATACCGGTCACTTTGCAGGTTACCATTTTACCTGAAAGAACACAGAGATTATATACATAGCCACATACAAACATGTAGAATATATAGAGAGGGCTGTAAATCACAAATATTATACTTTTACAAAATATTTGACTAACAAATCAACATTATACAAAAATTTGACTAGAAAATGAACATTATACATGTTACTACATTATCTCATCTTTTCTTCAAAAGCTTGTCAATTTATGTCACAAGATGAATGTGAAATTAGATGATGAATGATGAATTGGGAAGGATAATATGAAGAGAAAAAAGGAAAACAGTGCTTTTTTCTTTCAGTAAGACGAGCATTACTTAATTGCGATGTGTTAATTCTGTCGCTAGCTATTTTTTTTCTTCCTTTCTTTTCAGTCCCATTATATGTGCTAAAGGGGGAGCGATTGCATTTGTTGTGTTCCATATGAACATTGCTGCAAATTATTTCTGGTCAATTCAATATTTACTTTGATCCCTGTTACGCTTGGGCAATCCCTTGTACAAACCCTGGTACAGGAAACATTTGTTCAGTCCCATATACCCATTTTAGTGCTGGTTGCTCACTCACCTCTATAAAATGTCTCTGGTGTTTCCTTAGTCAGTATACTGAAGGCTTCTTCAGGAGTGAATGGATGGAAAGGTGTCCTGAGATCCTTGTAGCGACTGTTCAGCTCGGCTCTGATGTCATACAGAGTTATGCTCCTATTACCATAACCCTGTAACATACAACAATAGATTAACATGAAAATCATTTTGTGTCAATATAATTTATGCTAACTTAAATCTGTTATCATTGCGAGGAATAACTAAAGCACAGTGGCGTCATGCAGGCCAAGCCATCAAAGGGGTTCTGGTACCACTGAAGGAAGCAAGGCCTTATATGTTTGGATGAAATGGGGATTAAGAAAGCTATCAATTGAAATAGGGGTGTGGGAGGGGGTCTTGTCATCTTCTCTTCATGTTCCCTTTCTCCCTTTCAATCTTTTTTTTCTTCCTTTCAGATGACATACGACCTATACCCCTTATAGTTATGCCATTGTAATAGCAGCAGAATGGAGTTAGACCTTAATTTTAATTCTATTCCCAGTGTTCTTACATGTGAAACAGAATGGCTTAGCAGAAGGAGCTAAGGATATGATTCATTAGATATGCCATAAACTGAAACTGTTCCAAACATTAGGGTAAAGCATCTCATGTTGGCAACATATTGCAAATGGTTTCAATCCAAGGCACAGTATCTCTAGCTTAGAACGCAATGGCCCGAATTCACAAAAGAGGTTTACATTTAACCCATGGTTTAAATCTTCATTTACATAACCCATGTTCTAAAATCAGCGCAAAATAAGCGTGACACAGTCAGATGTCCAATATTAAACGCACACAAGGCAAGGTACGCTTAAAGATAAACTTGAGTTCTGGTAAAAAAAGAAAATGAATCCTCACAGAATCTAACGAAACTTACACTGAATGTTCAAGATTACAAATAAATGTCATGTGCCAAACAATTTTGAAAGAAAATGTATACTGGCTGAGTAATGAGCATAGAAAGATAAGGAAATCAGGGTAGTACTAGCCCCGACACCATGTTTGTTGTCCCATATACATCTTTCCGTGTCAGTGATTGTTACTTTACCAAGACTCTGCAAAATTTATGATAATTTTGATGACTCCAGAACCTTGCATTACACACCATTACTTACATGCTATATGATCAACTTTTCTGATCCATTCCACACGTTTTCTTTCACAATGCAATTGCATTACCAGAACTCAAGTTTATCTTTAATTTGAGCTCATTTTAAGCCATGGGTTATGTAAATGACGGTTTAAACCTCCTTTGTGAATTCGGGCCTATAGGTCAAAGACTGGCATCCACAAGACTTGCCTGTCTCTCCAGTTCCTCCGCAAAGGCATCCAGATCCAGATCCTTGAGTTTGTCAGGGTTCTCCAGGATCTCTTCCAGGGCTTCTGCAGGGTTAGCATCGTCAGCGGCTTCATCATACTCTAAGGCATCTACAGCCATCTTACGAGCCCACTCGTACGTCTCAGGGTGGATTCGTGTGCTATCGAGGACCTCGATGTAGGTGTCATCAGCACTGTAAATAAACAAAAGTTGTTTAGTTTCAGTTATGTATCGTATTACAATACATGTATCTATTAGACTCTGCAGGGTTAGAATTGTCAGCAATGTAATCATATACATGTACATGTACGTATTATAATACAACCATAATCAGATGTGGACAAAGATTTGGTGAGAGAGAGAATAGTGCTTGCAAGACAACAATTTCCACCAATATCCACCATACATTTAGAAATACAGTCAAACCCGCGTTAGTGACCAACGGTCTACAAAGACCAAATTTTTCCCCCCTTGAAAAGAGTTTCTCACTGAAACATGTACTAAAGGAACCTGTACATAAAGACCGCCTGCCTATAAAGACCACTTTTCTTGTCTCCCTTGGGTAGTCTTTATAGACAGGTTTCACTGTATTAGTATGTCCTCTTACCCATCTCCTGCAGAAGCGGTGTCAATCTTGAGGAATCCAGCGCAGTTGATGAAGACCTTGGGACCAAGCTGACAATGGGTGACTAGCTGATTACGGTTGTCAAGCCTCTGGTTCTTTTGCTTCAAGGTCTGAGGATTCAAGAAAATTAATAACATATAATTTCATTTTGTTTATTTCCATTTCCAACAAAATAAAATAAAGTACATGGGATTGCATTGGACATAGTAAAACAATGAAACTTAACAATATATTTGTAATTGTTCCAGTGTACAACAGGCATATAATACAGGTTGGTCCTGGAGGGGACTGCTGAAAAGCTGGGCTTGTAGATTGCAGCCCCCTATAACTTATAATTGCAAAAATAGTACCTGGTATATCAATAATGTTCCCAATATATTTCTTTTGATCACCTCCAATGTCTTATCTTATGTCCTACTGATATTTCTGCCAACTACAGAGATTACCACAAAATGATTGATTTCCGAAAGCAACAAATTATGAAGGCAAGGTAGTTTACCCGTGACATAGATCCTATTATAATTGAAATGGTTTGTTCCATGAAAAAGAGATGACCAAAATGGTAACGCAATATGCACTGATCATTCTATCTAAGTAAGAAAGATACTAGAAATAATGAAATACAGGAGAGAAATACAATTTCTCTTAATCAATAGCCCCCGATTTTTCAATATTATCCAAGAATTATACCAACAAGGAGTAAATTGCTTGTCATGATAGTGGCATTTAAAGCCTGTCTGCACTACTTGTATCTACTTGCACCCTCTATATAGCAAACAATGCCTAAGTGGTACATGTTGGTCCCCCATGGTCCCCTTTTTCTTATGTTAATTGAGAGCTGATTTGATGAGATAGCCACCAGTCGGTGACCAAGGTAGGGAGGTCTAATCCCTCCTGGCCAAACTAGTGCAGACAGGCTTTAAGTGCTCGCTTATTCAGTTCTCTCACTTTAAAACTAGTAGAGAGAACAAAACGACATTCATATAATGGGGACTCTGTTACTTACCCTGACCAAAGAATTTCCTTTCCTTGGACCGAGCCCACAGACAAACTGCACTATAGAGGCGGTGTGGGGGTGTGTGATAGCCCGGTTGATATCGACGCCCACCTCGTTGACCCGGTAGATGAACTCTTGGAACATAGCCTCCTTCAGCTCCTCTTGACTTACTGCATCCTACAAATTGAAAAGAAAAAAATATATAGACTTACTGTACTTACAAGGCAAGACTTCTTGAATTAAATTAAAAGAAAATTTGTAAACTGTATTCAGAGCTGCCAATCCAAACTGAACCCATATCCTATTGTTTTCCTAAAAAAAATCCTATTTTTGATCGATTAGTAATTTCTTTTGGTGAGACTGTGTTCGTCGACATTTTGAAGAATTATGCATGAGTACATTTTACAAACATTTTGTACATAAGTACAAATTACGGTACATAAGTAAGATGGTCTATTTTGTTTCCTTCAAGTATGAGTGTCCTCATTAATACATTACTCCCAATTGAAATACATGCACTACAGCTTTGTTTTCATTGTTTCCTACGTGGAAATAAATGGATAGAAATGAATCAGTTCCAACTAGTATAAAACAGGTTTTTCAATGCCCAAGATGTGAGTTGGTCTAGCGGCACGTACACTTGGTCAGCTCTCTGTCTACAAACTGGCTCAGGCATCCCTGGTTCAAAACTGAGTCACGTCTTTCGGATGGTGACATTAAAGGTCGGTCCCCAGATGTAAATAATCTGATTGATACACGTCTGTAAAAACCCAATTACACACACACACACCCACACACACACACAAACACACTAATGGTAGCAATTTGTGTGCAATATCTTTACTTATCAGCAAAAACAAGACTTGCTTTGAAGAGGGAAGTGATGAGATACCTGTTGAGGATGAAGTTTGAGGCAGAGGATATCATCATCTGGATTGCACAGTCTGGAGAACTCAATGAGTGGATCCTGCAACCTACGTGCTATTGAAACGGCCTCACGTAACAGTGGCGGGTAGTCACGGAACTCCGTCTGAAACAAATATCAAAGGACTTAATGGTTAGAGCTCCTTCATATCAAATACTTGTCTTTGTTTGAGAGCGAAACGGGTTTGATTAAACAATCTGCAATCTGCAAGCTATTGAAACAGCACAGCGTACTAGAGGCACGTAATCACGAAAGTCCAACTGGCAAAAATATCAAAAGAATAAGGGTTAGAAATTGTTCAAATCAAATACTTGTCTCTATATAAACGGCACTGTGTACCATAAAACCTATGACCCTACTACAAATAGATTGTTTTTTAATAAAATGAAGCATGCAAGGGTCCTCAAGCATAAGAACTATCAATGGAGCTTGTAGTTACAGAGGTTACGCCAAGGAACTTGGACTCAAAAAAATATCAAAGAGAAAGTATTAAAGATAATGTTGAATATTTGTCATGTAATTTTTTATGACATAAAAAGTCTATTTGCTATTTCAAATAGTTGGTTGTGAAGTAAATATGAGCAACTTGGTATCATTAGTTTCACAAATTATTTCTCTGTTAAAATCACAAACAATTGAAAATACTGTTCAAGATGAAAGTTCAATAAAAGATGATGCATTCCATTCGACTTGGCTTCACCTGACTGAATAGCGCAGATGCATTTTTCAACGCATAGAATAGTCTAACCACATCACTAATTAATAAACATTAAATATTTGATCAGTGGGTGTTATCCTACCTCCACAAGCTTGGAGGCCTGGTATACAGCAGCCACATTGCTGTCAATTAATTGAACTTTGATTGGCGCCATCTGTTGTTCCGACTCCAGATCCTCAATGCACCCCTTGATGTCTTGCAGCACAGATGTTGTGTTCCTGCGTGGATAATCAAAAGAGAAAATAATCAAGATGAAATGAAGACTTAATATTTCAACAACAATAAGAAAGAATTTGATAAGATAAAGGGCCACGAATGTGACAAGAAGAAGATGGGAATAGTGCTACATTAAATTTTCACCTGGATTTATTTTATTAAAGATAATGGGGTCAGGGCTTGGGTAAAAAAAAAAGCTTTTTAAGTCAAGTTTAGCTTGGGATTAAGTTTAAGTATAATTTTTGGTTGGGGGTTGGAGTTAGGCATGGAATTAGTGTTAAAATGACTGCAAGCAATCAATGCAGCAACATATGTCATACGACACACAAGTATCTAACCTCACATTCAGACATGAATAAATATATGTTACATAAGAAGACACTTTACCACTATAGGATTATTTTTTAAGTGTAAACGTCATATAGCGAACTTTCTGTCTACTTTAACATGGTATAACAAAACAAAGGTTTTGACATTGATTCAATAAACAATCAGGGTTTACTTGTATGACCATATCATAGTATGGGAATTCTACAGAAACATGTAATTCTCTCCCATACAATTTTGAACAAAATTGAACGAGGATTATGTATACGTGTATGAATACTGAATACCCCTCTCACTTTACAGCTTTTGAAGGTGCTTCTTACACATTTCTTCATAGACTCTTCTCCCTCAGGCAAAAAAAGGCTTTTAAAGTGGCTCAGGAACATTGCCTCAGATTCTAACACAAAATCTTGGATTTAGCTCATGCTGCAATTATAATTATAAACCTTTAGGTCAGTCAGGAATCCTATGACTTTTACAAGCAGAACGCCTGTCTGATTATCAAGATATTTATGATTGGAAATCAAGATTTCTTTTTTTGTTTTCCTAACAGTTTTTATTACACTACAGTCTATTGGGGAAAATGAGTATGGTAAAACCGGTCACTCAAAGATTTTTTACTTTCTTGAGGCGCTTCATGATCATTTTGAAGCAGATTTTTTTTAGGGCTTCCATATCACAGACACTGATAACATGTAGGGCCATGCATCTTAGATTTAACATTGTTAAACGATGCCTTAAAACACTCACTTTCCTTCTGAAGCCAGGGCTAAGACATGAGGCTTCTGGGTTGAGATGAAGTTCTTGAGTGATTCTACGTCGGCCTGCTTGAGATCACGGTCTCGCTGGTAGAAGGCATTCCTTCGTCTCAAGAAGTGAGGCAACCGAAGGAAGTCTGTCACTTCTCCCTCACTGTCGAGCATACAGCAGAAGGCTGCATTGTCCCTGGAATAGGAGAGAAAATATTGTCAACCAAGAGGTAGAAAGATTTATTATTGTTATCATTGTTATTATCACTACTTATACCGCACTTTTCCCATAAGGCCCAAAGCACTTACAGTGAATTAAAAATTAAAATTACATAAACACATCTAATAAGAAGAACAGTCTTACCACTACAAACTGCAAAACTGATGGAGACTGCCTAATTCTAAGTGGTAGATCATTCCAGTATTTTGAAGCAGATACAGTAAATGTCCTGTCCCCGGCTAATGTGTGGGTAACTGAATATGTGACACTGGCTGACCTCAATGCCCTGCCCTCAATTCAACAGCATCCCCCTCTAAGTACCTCCTTTTCTTTTGAAATCACAAATCACCTGCCTTTCCCTCTGTGCTACTACACTCCTGCAAACCATAAAATTGGTATTTACTGATCTACCAATGGTTGGATCCATATCCATGCTAGATTCATGTTACGGTGATTTAGCACTTGCGAAAGTAAAGCCAATGACCCCTTCCTGCTGTTTCCATCCATATGATTATTCCCTACACAATAATGGTCTCATCCATCTCACACTTGCCCTCATATACATCCAGTCTATTCCATCCAATATAATATGAACCTTATGACTCACATCACATATAATTATCATAACCCTCCAACCCATAATGGTCTCTTCCATCTCACAGTTGCCCACACACACATTACAGACTAATCTATTCATCAAATAGGGGTGACTTACATGTCACTTGTGAAAGAGAAGCCCATGACCCTCAGTCCCATCCTGCTGTTTCCGTCCATGTAGTCGTCCTCGTCCTCCTCCATGGGCTGGTCTACTTGGTGCGGCATTACCTTCAGAGAGTTGAACATCTTGGTGCAACATTGCTGGAAAGGAAACAGAAAAAAGTTCTTTAAAAATCAGAAATACCAAGAGAGGAGAACAAATATCGTTGACAAAATCATGTCAGAAATTCAATGTCAGTCACTCATATTAATCCACCGACTTTGTAGAAATATTATTAATAATATTCCACTTTTGTTATAGCGCTTAATACATCAACGATGACACTAGGCGATTTACAGATATATTAATACTGATTCAGGCTTGCCAGCACACGTAGTATGCACATTCTCCACTCCCTGGGGAGCAGTCTAGCCAGACATCATTTTACAGACGCTCACAATGCTGAGCAGACTACATTAACTTTCGCATCCTATCGGTACTGCAGCATTTGTTAATGAGTCTATACTGACCTTGATGATGCCCTCCTTGGCCTCAGCAACAAGCTTTGTCTTGAGCTCCTTGGCAAGCTGTGGGTAGAGGATACTCTGGAGGGCCATCTCCAGGGCACCGCTCCTCTCCTTGTTCCAGGCCTGCACCTCTGTACGGAACTCGTCCAGGTAGTAAAGCTGCTTCATCTCCTCAAAGTAGGTGGTCGATGTGTAGGACGTACTACAGAGTTGGATAGAATGGATAGAAGTGTCAAAGCTGAGTAGTTTAAGCATTTGACAAGAAATTCAAAGGTTGTGGGTTTGATCCCGACACAGCATGTCATTTGGCAAGGCATTAATCTAAATTTGCCACTCAATACCCAAGAGAAAAATGAAGACCCGTTAGGATGACGAAAGCATTAATGTTAGTAATTGCCTATGCCCTCACGGTAACCATATGGTAGGAATACTCTCCAGGGAAACACGCTATATAAATCCAAATCATTATTACAGTAATTATCACTGTAAATTGTTGTATAATCTATATGAAGGGGCAAGAGTACACCATTAGAACTTATAGAAATTGTATCCATTTTTATCACTGAACAGAGTTTGATTATCTAAATGAAAGAGAAATTCATCGAATGTTTGTTAAAAATCTTCAAACTATAAACAATAAAACTCTGTAAAAACTTTAATATCAAATTTCTTACAGGCACATTTAGATGCTTGCAAGAAGCAGTATCTAGTCATATCTGCATATCATCTTTTCTTTGAAGTAATGTACATGTAATTATATGAATTAAAACATGTTTATCTTTTAAAAGAGGATCAAACAATTACTTTGTGGGGTAAAATTTATTTTCAACCAGGAATTTACCAAACAGTGTCAATTCATTCATGGGTACAACAACCATTTAATGTTCCAAGTCTGACCAGTGAATACAACATGATCCAACTGTAACAGAATGAAGAGAAATACAGGTAAAAGATATGTCAGACCAACCTTGTGCCCTGAGCCATGTCAATGGACATGGTCATGGTGATGAGCTTATCCTTTTCAGCTTGGACTAGCTTGAGGTACTGGTCCTGCAATAGATCCTTGACCTGCTTGTTCTTGAGGTACTTGCTACCAAAGATGGGATGGCTCTCATCGATTTCCTGGGAAGGATTGAGAACATTAGACAATCATTTACACATTAATTGATATAAGACACGTCTTTCATTGCTCTTTATCATCCACTGGACCATTCACTGTCTTCCTGATGATCCAACATCTGCCATAGAGACATTTACTCTCCTGTCCATATTTGATCAAGGATCAAAGGTGATTTGTTTATGTGACTGGATCTTAGGTGAGGTTTCAGGTTAGAACTAGGAATAAACCTATGGAAACGTATGCTACCTCAGAGAAAATGTTGACAGGGCATGTGCCATATGATTGCATCTCAATTTAGTTTTTCTTCTTTCATCTACTCTTCTTTGGATATAATATATTATATAAAGTCCCTATGCGGCGTTATGCGCTTCCAAAGAGCTTTGGAAATCATTACCCTAGCTTTAGCCTTTCAAAATCCACACAGACAATATAATAATCAGAAAGCAAGTCAAGAAACTGATATAGACATACCTTGATGCCTTTCTTGGTTGGTCTGACCGATATCTTAGCTCTCTCATAGTATGTCTGTCTTACGCACTGCCTGACTAGAGGATCATGTGCAATCTGGAGGGCTACCATGTACCTTGCAGCTTGCAGCACGCCTTCCTCATCTTTGAATTTACTGCAAGAAAATAATGCGAACAAAATACAGCCTTAATAAGAAATGAGGAAGAACTTTTTTACAATCCTTGGACTATGAATATTACAGATGAGGAAGCTCAAGGCAGAAAAGTGTAATCCTACGGTCACAAAGGTTCGTACGACGATAATTTTGTACAAATCTCCGTTTTTCCATTGTCTTCCCGAATTTCCATTGTCTGAAAATCGTTCAAACGGCATTTGTAGCAGTTCGTAATGGCATTTGTGACAGAGGCTTTAATACAGTATTAAGTCTGGAAGCTGCCTTTTTGGCAGAACACCTACAAAAAAAGGATATTTATGTTCTTGTTTTCATGCTTTAAGGTACATGTGCCATACGGGTCACAGTATGCTGGCTAATATCTTGGTTAGGTTCTCTGAAGCTACATTAGTGGGAATGACTTAGTACTGCTTAGGACCGATATCAACATTGACTTTCATTTTCACAAGTAGACATGCTCCAAAGTTGTGAATTAATCTTTATCTGGGCTTAGTCCATGTTTATTGCTACAAAAAAAAAACACTTCTATCTTTGCAATCGCAAACATGTGGTCAAAATGTTCTTCTTGAATAGGAGATGGTGCACATCAGAGTTCATATACACACCAACGGCTACTCTGTGGCTGTCTTAGTAGACTATCTGCACACAAAAAACATCTTTTCTGTTATCTTAATCATTTGACTTGATAATTCGCTATGGAGTGGAGATGGTGCACATAGTGGTCATATTTACCTTGAGAGATAATCTGTAGCTACTTCTAAGGGGCTATCCTGGTGTTGTTCAGGGTCGTGCCTCTGGTAGTTGTCTCTCAGATTCTCACCAAATTGTTCCGGGGTCAGACCAAACTTTGCAGCCAGACCAGCTAATGATCATAACAAAATGAAAGGTAAGTTTAGTGTAGAGTGAGACCTATACTGAAACATATCAAACCATCTCTTTGCAATTTTGTCTATACACACTTTATTCTGATGATCATATAACACTAAGTCTGTAACAAGTAACCCATGGTCTAGACTCCATAGTGTCATACAAATGCAGTATACCACTCTACATAGCGTGTAGTAGAGACTGGCAGGAACCCATTCAAATGGGGCGTTGCAAGAAAGTTGCAATTAATTGCAAATCCCCAAAATCAAGCGTGCGTCTTGCGATTAAGCAACTCAACTTTCTTGCAACCCCCCCCCCCCCCCCCCCCCCCCCCCCATTATTACGAGAGAGAGAAAGAGAATAAAAAGCTAGATCAAGTTAATTAATTTAATTGTTAAAAACTTTAATCCTAACAAAATCCTGGGAAATTTAGTAGACTAGTGGGGCGTTGCAAGAAAGTTGAGTTGCAATTGATTGCAAATATCAGTTGCAAATTTTGCAACTTGCAATCAATCCCAACTTTCTTCCAACGCCCCATTAGTCAATCTTATACTAAGGATGCAAATCAAATCATATGTGAAGTCACGAGCAAAAAAGGACAAAATACATGATAATAACTTACTGAGCTTAGCATCCTGACAGAGAGCATACATTGATTTTCTGCTGGCTTGTTTGATCTCATTGCTGGTTACCACGCCCTCTTCATCATCCTCATCATCAGAAGCCTCTACCTCCATCTCATCCTCAACCTCTGTCTCCTCCTCAACCTCCTCCATCTCCTCTTCGTCTGCTACCTCTCCATCCTCTTCTGTATCCTTCTTCTTCGTCTCTCCTTCTCCATCCTCCTCCTCTCCATCCTCCTTGTCTTTCGTCATCTCGCCATCCTCAAACCCGTCATCCTCCTCGTCCTTCTTCTTCTTCTCCTCCCCACCTTCCTCGTCTCCCTTCTCCTCCCCCTCCTCCGTCTCCATCTTCTCCTCATCGTCTTTCTCCTTCTCCTCCTCCTCAACATCAACCTTCTTGTTACTATCCTCCTCCTCGTCGCTATCATCATCTTCTATCCTTCGTTCTTTGTGAGGGGCTTTCTCCTTCTTCTTCTTCCTCCATCTTCTGACCATCACTTTCCTTTTGACCGTCACAAGCTTCATCTTCTTCTCCTTGGGTTTGGCTTTCAGGGCGTTGTGCATCTTGGGAAGTTCTCGGCCGTAGTATAGTAAGAAGTGCATGTAGACATCCTTCAGGGTTTCGGTAGAGTCTACAGCATTCAACCTGATCACAAGGAAAAGACATTAGAATATTAGAAATATTGCTAGTGTAGAAACATTTTCAAAGATTAAATTAACAATCAGCATGATAATTGTAACCTGAGGATTGATAATTGATCAAAATTATCAAGATATAGAGGATCATGAAGCTTTGATTCATCAAGAAAAGGATTTAAAAAATCATATTTTTCCAACACTTACAATACATTATACGGCAATCCGTATCCCTCTTCTCTATCTCTTTTGCTGAATACTAAATACGATCATGGCATCAATTAATTACCTTGTTAGAAATGCAGCAGTGAAACCTGTCTATAAAGGCCACTCAAGGGTGACAAGAAAAGTGGTCTTTATAGGCAGGTGGTCTTTATGTACAGGTTCCTTTAGTACAGGTTTCTATGAGAAATTATTGTCAAGGGGAACACAAATGTGGTCTTTGTAGACAGGTGGTCACTAAAGTAGGTTTCGCCGTACCAGTCATAGGGTCTGTCCATATTCCATCCTGATCCCAGGGCCCCATTTCACAAAGCTTGTCATCAGTGACAAATGACAGTTTTTGTTATAAGCTATGGAAATTCTTGCTTCTAATTGGTTATCAGCAGATTTGTCACTGATTTTTGTCAAATTTGTCATAAAAAAAATACTTTGTGAAACTGATCCCAGGGGGGTGTTTCACAAAGATCTTAAGTTTAACTTATCTCTACATTGGACTCAACAATTATTGAAAGCTGTTAGCATCTTTGAAAATATTTTGTAAAAGTTATTTTAAAAGGCATAAAATGTTGATTCAAATCATTCATATTTTCTATTACCAAAGAGATTTCATATTCTTGATGTGGAATTTATGAAAAGTCTAAAATACATAATGTTAAGTCCAACTTAGAGTTAAGTTTGACTTAGTATCTTTGTGAAACACCCCCCTGGTCTGTGTTTACCTTTCAAGGTCTTGGGTGGAGAGGGCTCTAAAGTCTTCAGGGAGTTCTGCATCAAAATCCTTATCCTTCATCACCGTGTCAAACTGGTACGTCTGCATCTTCTCAAATAGCTTGAGCAGGTTGGCTTTCCTGGATTTCAACTGAGACCACTACAACGATAGAAACAACAAGCACATGACAATTAACTGTTAACCAATTCAAAACTTGTCTTAAGACACATTTATTCAAAATTCCTTTTGATGATTAACTTGCTCTGTTCACATTGATGTATATTTCATATGTATTGTAATTTGTAGGTTTATTTGCACTTTTTTTGATTTGTTTAATATGTAATTGTTTATCATTATATTTTGTTTGTTATTATAGCACTTAGAGACTTCGGTGGTAAGTGCTTTATAAGCACTGTTATTTTTATTATTATTATTATTATTAGAATACAGGTACATGCATATAAAGGAGGCGCGATGGCTCAGTGGTAGAGCTGTGATCCCGTAACCGGGAGCTCCCTGGTTCAAAACCAAGTCAATGCGTTTGTGCCCGTGGGCGAGGCTTTAATCCTCATTATCAAGTCCCTCGGAGATGACTGACAGTTGTCTGTCCCCCGGTTGCTAACTTACAAGCTTATACATGCTTTCTGAGGAGTCTGGTAAAGCAATCCTCAAACATCACCACATAGATAATTAGCACTTGACTTTAGAGTAAATTTACTGAATGAGCAGAAATCTTATATACATGATTTGGCCATGAGTCATAGGATCAAGTAATGTTAGAATCCAATATGTAGTCTTTCTCATAAAATTAAGCAAATCTGTAATGAACTTTCTAAATAAAAATCCTAAAATATTCAGAACTCCATTGAAAATCTGTGAGATTTTGAAATTACCTCTGGGATGGGTTCTCTGCCATATAAACAAGATCGATTTTACCATGTATATTTTTATTTGTTGATATTTGTTAATGAAAATAGACACAAACCAATAATTATCTCTTTAATTTTTAATGTAAGCCATACAAATTCAATTAATAACAATTCAAATCAAATTCTAGACCACTTTTAATTTCTCACCTTGGCATCCCAGTGATATACTTTATAGAGATCATTGAAGTTGAGCTCGGGCTCTACATACTCCTTTCTGTAGAAGGCTATGAATGGTACCTGCATGCAAAAAAAGAACACAAAATTCACAATACATAGGCTGTTGTAAAGAATGTTCATTCTTGATATAACTTTCCATTGAAAAGACGACAAAAAAGAATTAGACCCAAAATCTGTTAAAAGCTAAATCGATAAACAAATCAGAACCCTCTATCTTCTCAGCTAGCACAAGCTTTATGAGACTCACTCACTGTAAAACATCTGTTCAAGATCACTACAACATACAGATCAAACTTTAATACATTTCTGGGGGTAAAATTGTGTAGACTCCCTGAACACAATCATCCAATAAACACACCTTTCCCTTCACACATGTATAGATTGATTTTAGCTCAGTAAAATGTGATTATTACCTCAAAGTGTTGATTTCTCATGAAGTGGAGGGCTTCTCGGATTTTCTTTTTCGTCTTTGGAGGTTTTCTCTCATAGGCGCTGGACCCACTATAGCCATCGCCTTGGTCGCCAAACTCCTACAAGTAATGAACAAGTCGAAAAATAAAGCAGACGGTATGACAAAATTAACAGATGTGGAAACTTCCACTTCAATCATACACCAGACCAACCATAATTACAGTTAACTAAATTATTCAAACCCCTTGTAAATTTGATGCTCTTTGTGTTTTGTATAACTCAAGAATGAAAGGTGGACTGGTTGAATATAGGAAATTGTTTTAAGCTTTTAGATGTAAGCTATAATAATTCATATTCTCAAGAAACATAAACCAGGACAAAGCATTTTTTCACAAACTTAAACAAATTACTAAACTTAGTAGGAGTATGATTAGTTTAGTTGTTAATTAACTGTATAATAGATTAACACATTTTAAAACTAGATGGAATTTTGACTGCGCGCAGTCGAAAATGATGCCTCCGCCATAGAGCAATTTAAACAAGTTTGGAGTTTAAATCTCCAGTGGTTCTTGAGATATCATGATAACAATCTCAATGTATGGAATTTCATAAGTTGACCTCTGTGACCCTTGACCTTTGACCTACGTGCTCCAAAATCTAATCAGATTGTCTTCCTATGGTGATACACACTATCATTAAGTTTGAAGTTTAAATCTCCAGTGGTTCTTGAGATATTATGATATGGTGATACATACTATCATTAAGTTTGAAGTGAAAATTCTCCAGTGGTTCTTGAGATATCGCGATAACGATCTCAATGTATGGAATTTCATAAGTTGACCTCTGTGACCCTTGACCTTTGACCTACGTGCTCCAAAATCTAATCAGATTGTCTTCCTATGGTGATACACACTATCATTAAGTTTGAATTTTAAATCTCCAGTGGTTCTTGAGATATTATGATAACAATCTCAATGTATGGAATTTCATAAGTTGACCTCTGTGACCCTTGACCTTTGACCTACGTGCTCTAAAATCTAATCAGATCGTCTTCCTATGGTGATACATACTATCCTTAAGTTTGAAGTTTTTACATCTCCAGTGGTTCTTGAGATATCATGATAACAATCTCAATGTATGGAATTTCATAAGTTGACCTCTATGACCCTTGACCTTTGACCTACGTGCTCCAAAATGTAATCAGATTGTTTTCCTATAGTGATACACACTATCACTAAGTTTGAAGTTTAAATCTCCAGTGGTTCTTGAGATATCATGATAACAATCTCAATGTATGGAATTTCATAAGTTGACCTCTGTGACCCTTGACCTTTGACATACGTGCTCCAAAATCTAATCAGATCGTCTTCCTATGGTGATACATACTATCCTTAAGTTTGAAGTTTAAATCTCAAATGGTTCTTGAGATATCGCGCTAACAAACTCAATACAAGGAATTTCATAAGTTGACCTCTGTAACCTGTGACCTTTGACCTACGTACTCCAAAATCTAATCAGATCGTCTTCCTATGGTGATAAATACTATTCCCGAGTCTTAAGTTTAAATCTTAAATGGTTCTTGAGATATTGTGATAACGGTCAAACGGGACGGACGTACGGATGTACGGATGTACGGACGGACAACCCGAAAACATGATGCCTCCGGCACCACCTTCGGTGGCGGAGGCATAAAAACTGAGAATAATTCGAACCAAAAAGTATCATCACAGTTCTCAAGCAACCTCATTATATTTCTGTAAAATATGACAAACAATGACAACAAGCAATAAAATTTCAAACTCTGTGTTGAGCACTCATTAAGCATTCTGTGCATTTAAGTCTACTTTAAATAGACATTTACTTTTGCATCAATGAGCTAAACAGTACCTGATTTGATACTGATGGTGTCAGGAAGGCTTGTTTGTAGATCCATTCCGACTCTTTCTCAAGCTCTTCATCAGCTGCCTCGGTGACAGGAACTGATCTCAACTAAACACAGAAACAAAAGCAAGATGATAAACGTTCGGATGCTTCAGGTGAGACATGTCCAGTGAAAAAAGATTTTGCTGAAGTTTCAGTGTTTAGGAATGCAATCCGCCTTGTGAAGAAAAACTTGTGAATCAAAAGTTGTACCAGTGGTATAACAGATTACTGTTTTACTCTTAGCAATCTTGTCTGACAAAGATATATTTTCTACTTTTATTGAATCTTGCAAGAAAAAGAATGATACATTTTTCTGTGCTTTATCATGCACATGTATACAAAATTTTGTGACACATACCTCCATAATAAATTTCTAATACAAACAAAACAGGCCTCATCAGCATCAGTCCTGTTCTTCCTGATCGCCCTGCAACCTAAGCGCCAACTCTGCATCTTTGACAAAATAAAGCCTGGAGCAACTAGTATAGCCAGATGCAAGTTATGGATAACCAAACTATTCTGGAAGGCCGGAACTCACCATAAATCTCTCTGGAATGTCTGCAGTCTTGATCTCGCTATCAAGATCAGTGAAGTGACCCCTCTCCAGCTCACTCGGCTCAAATACCTAGAAACAACGACAAAATATAAATTAGCAGGACTAAAACATATACGTACATCAATAATAGTTTTTTTTCCATCCGAAAACAAAACATGTCCATGATTTCTGAAATGCCACTGCAGAATTTCAAAGATGATATTTTGTTATGGAAAAAAAATTCATCATAAAACAAAACATGTAAGCATTTTAAGAAAACACAGTGCAAAAATGGGATAAAGGATTCTGTTTCTCTACACTTTCACAGATTTATCAATTTATTAGATGAAGAGAATAAAAGCTCCTAAAAGGAAATCTAAAATCTTTTTTTTTTTAATGCAAATACAAAATAAATAATCAATTTAATTGTTGTTTTAAATTTTAAATCATAAACAATATTTCTTTCATGAGAAATTAATCATAGAAACAGCTTTTTTTTAAAATGCATTTCATAGAAATTGTCACTGGCTGAAGGAACATGGACAGGCAACTTTCTAGCCAAGCAATAGCCAGCAAAGGGATTGTGATTGGCTCCTGGTGACTGCCCTTACCTCGTATATGCTCTTCTTTGGTGCACGTTTCTTGCCAGGTCTCTTCTGCCTTCTTCTTTGTTCTCCGCCTTCTTCCAATTCATCTTCCTCTTCTTCATACTAAACACGAGAGAGACAGGGTTAAAGAAAGAGAGATAGAGAGATAGAAAGAGAGATTAAGAGGGTAAGATAAAAAGAGACCGCAAAAGAGAAAGCACAAACGGTGAAAACAAAAGCAGTAAGATGTGACCTTCTCATTCAATAATCTTACTTTAGTTCAAAGTCTACCACAAGACAGTATTGAAATATATTTGTGATTGTATGTATCTTATTTAATGCACTGAAAACGTTATAATAATGTATAATGAAGAAATAATTGTTGATTTACTATTTTGAAAATGCAGAAATAAAAACAAAAACAAACAAAATGCAAAAATGTCTCTGACTCCATGAAAAGGGGATTTAAAGACACTGTTTGTTTTTGTTTTTTTATAATTATTATTCAAAGCTAAATCCACAAACTGATGCCAAAACTAGATGGAATTTTGACTGCGCGCAGTCGAAAATGATGCCTCCGCCATAGAGCAATTTAAACAAGTTTGGAGTTTAAATCTCCAGTGGTTCTTGAGATATCATGATAACAATCTCAATGTATGGAATTTCATAAGTTGACCTCTGTGACCCTTGACCTTTGACCTACGTGCTCCAAAATCTAATCAGATTGTCTTCCTATGGTGATACACACTATCATTAAGTTTGAAGTTTAAATCTCCAGTGGTTCTTGAGATATTATGATATGGTGACACATACTATCATTAAGTTTGAAGTGAAAATTCTCCAGTGGTTCTTGAGATATCGCGATAACGATCTCAATGTATGGAATTTCATAAGTTGACCTCTGTGACCCTTGACCTTTGACCTACGTGCTCCAAAATCTAATCAGATTGTCTTCCTATGGTGATACACACTATCATTAAGTTTGAAGTTTAAATCTCAAATGGTTCTTGAGATATCGCGCTAACAAACTCAATACAAGGAATTTCATAAGTTGACCTCTGTGACCTGTGACCTTTGACCTACGTACTCCAAAATCTAATCAGATCGTCTTCCTATGGTGATAAATACTATTCCTGAGTCTTAAAGATGAAGTTGAGTTCTGGTCATGCGATTGCATTGTGTAAGAAACGGTGTGGAATCGATCAGAAAAGGTTGATCATCTAGCATATAAGAATTTGTGTGTATTGCAAGGTTCTGGAATCATCAAAATGATAAGAAATTTGGCCAAGTCTTGGTAAAGTTACAAACACTGTACACAGAAAGGTGTATATGGGACTACACGAACACGTGGCGTAAAAAGCCGGCCCCCGATTTTTACGATGTCACATGCATATTTAGAATATGAAGGCATTTGAAGAGCCATGCTTTTCAGGGAACATGTCTTATCTGATGTTCTTCCACACTTGCATAATAAGAATGAGTAACGCTCACAAATTATTTTCCACCTCTTCCCAGAACTCACCCTTCTCTTTAAGTTTAAATCTTAAATGGTTCTTGAGATATTGTGATAACGGTCAAACGGGACGGACGTACGGACGTACGGACGGACAACCCGAAAACATGATGCCTCCGGCACCACTTTCGGTGGCGGAGGCATAAAAAAGGTAAATTGACATGCTTCATTATTGATGACATGACTCGTTTCAGAAAAGAATATTTTTCAATCATTTTGAGCAATATTTACATTGGAACCATGTTACTTGATTACATTTTAATAAAAAATAACAAAATTTAATCAAATACCTACCTCAGAATACTCCTCTTCTTCTGCTTCTTCATATTCATCTCCATATCCTTCAAAATCATCAAAGTCAAAATCAAGACCAAAGATGTCCTGGGCTTCTTGGAGTGCACTAAAGAGAGTGGGAGAGAGAGTAATATTAAAGACACTGTCGGAAGTGAAAGATAAAATAGATTAATTATAACGAGAGAGAGATAATTAGACAATATTAAAGAATTAAGACCGTGTTGTAAGTGAAAGATGAAATAGATGAATTATATATCAAAGGAAAGCTTATAAGCCTAAGATTATAATGAAATAAATTATATGCTATTTTAATTCTTCATTTCATTTGAATAAATTCAAACGATTGATATATCATTTTTGAGCTCTGCTTTTAAATGAACAAATAAAATAAAATTATAAACTTGTACTGATTGGAAGCAACAGACATCAAAACGTGTGGTTTCCTTTAAGCGTCCTTTGTGTCATACTTACGAGTCTGTGTATCTGTGCTTGTGTCCTTTTTCTTCTTCTTCCCAATTGGTTGCCCACTGTCATCAACGATGAAATCATCTGGGTCTGCAAGAGTAAAATGCAATGAAAAAGTTAGTGACGAAAATAAAAATATAGAGTTATTGAATAATTGTTGGACTCGTACACATCATGAAACCTATTCTTTGTCATCTTTTCTTTATCTGAAAAACAATGTGTGGGTAAAATATTGATACAGAATTAATCCAAAACAAGTTCACATTTCTAACTAGTACTACTGTTGCTCAAAGACAGCTAATGCTATTTAGAAATGAAGTCATTTGCATGGTGTGTAGGCACTCACAATATATCATACAGATGCCATATCAATTATGGGATTCTAAAAAATACATTAAAGTCATTCCTTCCTGACAACTAGCACTGTTTCCCGTCTTAGCTACTCACGACTCCTTTAATCTTTCACGATGTGATACCTTATTCATTTATCACTTAGCTCATAAGGTTTTCATACTACCCTTTGAGAATAGTATAACTTGAAACGTTTCTTTCTATGTACAGTCCAACCTGCTTCAGTGACCGCCTGTCTACAAAGGCCACATTTGTTGTTTCCCTTGAATCATGTACTAAAGGAACCTATCTACAAAGACCACCTGTCTACAGAGGCCACTTTTTGTGTTTCCCTTTGGGGGTCGCTATTGACAGGTTAGACTGTATCATTGCCAACTATTTCTTGGTACATGCCTGATTCTTCTTCTGAATCTTCCAGAGCTCCATACTGCTCTCCCTGTTCTGGCTCATGTTGCTCTTCTTGGTCGTCCTGCATTCAGTCACGGAATTCAAGGGCAGAAAATTGGAAGAAGATTTTGTTTTGTTATTGTTTGATTAAGAGTACTCTGTTTTTGGATCCAGAGGTGTGTTAAAAGGAGATGGTAGTCAGTTTTCATGTGTGGTAGGTCATAATTCGCTGTCACCAGACTAGGTGGAAATACTATTAATGGGTGTATAGGTCTTGCACACAGCAAACCAGAGTTCCCATAAAAATATTTCCCCTAGTCTCGCGGAGAGTCTTTGGGTGAGTGAAATTTGATATGACTTTTCTATATGGGGTGATTTGTGGAAAATGCAGAGCATTACATAAGGCCTGTTATATTACATATAATGCAATAAACAGACCTAAAATCATGGCGAACTGCAAACACGTTGGCTGGCTTGTTTTGTAGGAAAACTGGTGCAGTACCTCATAAAATGTTGTATTACTTCTTGGACTTCCATAAGATCACTTTGTCCTGTAAGATATTACTTTCAAATCATTTGTTTCATAACTGTCCCGATGATGATGATGATGATGATAAATTAAGGACAAGTATGTAACTGAAAATAACTTTCTGCACTATATGTATAATTGAACTTGGAAATAAAAAGAGTGCTCTTGCAACAGATTTTCAACTTACAGCTGATCCAGCACTAATTTCACCCTCTTCCTCCTCCCCGGCAAAGATCTCCTTGGCGATAGCATCCCGGTCATCCAGCTCCCTTGAAGCTCCTGCTCCTCCTTCCTCGCTCCCACTATCATCCTCCTCAGAGATCTGACGCACTCGACGAAACTTTTTCTACAAGTGGGAGAAAACAGGAATATGAAAGTAATTATTATGATAATAATAATAGCTCACCTTTATATTGGCCCGAATACTTTGTTTCTAGGCGCAGTACATATTATTACCCCAGATCATCGGATTCAGGCTTACCCGCACACGATGTATGCACATTCTCGAATGCCTGTGGAGCATTCCGTCCAGTCGCCATTTTACAAGCGTCATTTAAAAACCTACCGGGTACCCATTTAACACCTGGGTGGAGAGTGGCAAATGTAGATTAATGTCTTGCCAAAGGACATTAGTGCCACGGCGGGACTCAAACCCTGTACCTTGCAATCTGCAGTCAGGTGACTTATCCACTAGACCACAATACCTCTATGATGATAATGGTAATAAAAGATTAACTTTAATGACGTTCTGCAGTAATGCTTGTGTCGACCTTCAACGGTGCAGGGCCAGCCGATCATGTATACACATACACAGTTAACATCTACATGGGGATCTTATTCCACATTCAATCAATTCAAATTTGCAGTTTTAAATGATTTTCAAACATTTTTCAAGTTGGGTGAGGTATATCACACAACAAGGATAACTACTACTTACACATATTGCAGTAAACAACGCCGTGAAATTGCTTTTCTTCATCTTTCAAACATTTGTAATATTGATACAAATAAATTTGAGATTGTTGTATAAAACAACTCACCCTCTCAACTTTGACTCCCAAGTTCTCTTCAATCAGATCATAGTCTTCATCTTCCAGCCTTTCATCATAATCTGCTGAAATAGTAATACACTCACAATCAAATCTCTGTTTTCATGAAATTGATCTACAAAAGATATCATTTACTAGCACTATTTGAATTCAAACAACACATGAACTCATTTGCTTATTTAGAACAACAGATTGTCTTTGTGTTTTCAGAACCTACTGTTTATCCAAATCCATGCAGAAATATCATAAATGAAATCACAATTTTGATGAGTCTTTAGTTGGGTTCATACATTGTAACTCCTTCTTTTACTCTCACTCCAAGTCAGAACACAATAAGCAATTTGGGCAAACAATACAAATGACATCAGAATGTATCAACATTTTTATCATAATACAACGCCAATGGTATTGCCCTCTTTAAAACAAAATATTAATATTTCAAAGTGCTTTATTATATTCTGGAGAATGTCAAATTTCCTTCTCTTTCTCACTTTCATTGAGAAATAGGAGTAAAGTTCACCCACCTCTATGTTTTCTCTTTTTCTTTCTACCGATCTCCTCGCCTTCAGAATCATTATCTGCTTCATCATCATCGTTGATCAGATCTGGAACGTTGGCCTCTTCATCTGAGGAGGAAGAAGGAAAGGACAACATAAAGTAAATTATCATCTTCATCATCTTTTCATAAGATCTACTGAAAATATTCAGTCATTTCTACAGAACCTGTTTCCAGGTCTATCTCCATTCTATGTCATCAGCTGGTTGTTTAATTTCATACAGTGTGCTTTGTTTTTATGATTGTAGAGTGCGGTGCACATTGAAAAAAAAAATTGATTATTTATTTCAGACATCTGATTTACACTTTTCATTACTTCAGTTTCTCCTCTCATGATCCTGTGATAGCTTCTAGGAGCTGCTGAAAGGATTACTATTTCAAGGTTAAAATAAAACAAAATTGTAAAAAAAAATTCTTCCATGTAAACTTCACTATAATTCTTTATGAGAAACAAAATTCTTTTCATTCATGGAAATTATATCACATTTGCATCTCAAAAGTTTCTAGCAGTGATTTGTATGTACTGGTGTTTAACCAGTTTTCTTCTTTTCCCAGAGCTAGCCTAGCAGTCAGACCGCAGCCGGTGCGAAAACCCTCTATTTTATTCAGCACGTATGCAAGAATTTACATGTCTTGCATACGTAATGAGTAGTGCAGACAGTCTTCCCGATCGGCAGTTTTTGCCTATATAATTTTGTTCATTTCTCATGAAGTGGGTCTTATTTTAAAGATAAGAAGTTGCACTTTCTATATACTCATATGACAATCATGTTAAATATATTTTGGAAACAAATATTTCGCCTTGAAAATGGGGTTTTTCGACGATAAATCTACCCAAAGAGTAGGGCTGATTTTCACATAGAAATCATTCTTGCGTCAAAAAGATGTTATAATCAGCACAAAGCATAAATATTTTTCTTTACAATGATATCAAAATTATTATATTTTACGCTGTACCAAAGTCAGGAACCAAGAAAAATCAAGCGAATGTTCATGAATAATTAAAAAAAGTAGTCGACTTTGCCGATGTGATAATAGAGCGTTCTGATTGGCCAAATACATCAACTACGTCACATATGTTCCACTTCGGTTTATTAACATTCTGAATAGCAAATTTGAGTAAGCATTCCTTGTGGCGTGCACCTGTATAAATGCACGTGTGCGCAAGCAGTCATGACAACAATCTGAGTACCCTGGATCAATTACGTCACCAGCCTTTCTACATTATTTCTTTTTTAATCTTTTTTTCTTATTTTTTTCGGCCAGTCAGGGGCGCGGCGGAGCTCCCTGGAGTTTAATCATCAGTTATGCATTGCCATTGCTCAAACGGCGAGCGTGCACGAGTATAAAATCACACAATTTCGCACCATCATATAGAAAGAACAAATTGGTAATTTCCGGGGTTTTAGGGTCTTAATTACTATGATTATAAAGAGAACAAGATTTTGCATCAATTAGGTTTTGACATTATTTTGATCAGTGACTTTTCATCTTTCCAATGATTCTCAAAGTAAACAAATTAATTATGTACCAAAGTCAGGAACCAAAAGCGAAATTTCGGGTACAAAATAGCTGTTGAAATGTTACAAAAATAAAGACAATAAAAGTGGTGAAAAAGGATTGTTTCAAAATTGTGAAATATGGCAAGTTTCATATCAAACTGAAGCTGAGAATCTCGAGAGTAATTACCGTTGCCTGCTGCCATGTTGACAGAAGTTATCGACCACAAAAGCAGCTGCATGTACACCCTTACAAATCTCACAGAAAATCTTGTGAATTTCAGCACATGTGAATGTACGAGATAACCAAAGAGACACTGAATAAAAATTGGCGTATAGCCTCATTATCGCGCACGCTGCCGTCTGACTGCTAGAGTACAAAACATTCAGGTGTAGGCTATATTTATTATTTCCACAGCTGATAGATATACCCCAGGCCCATCATCAAACCAACTCCGAACTGACTTAAAACCGACCAAATCCTCACCATTTGGTGCAACCTAATTTTTTGTTTGGTCTATTGAAAATCTTCTGTCTCACTCTCAGTCTTGTTAGAGAGGCTGGGTTTGAAATAGAAAGACTACATACCAATATCTTCTTCATATTCTTCCTCTTCATCACTGCTGGCTTGAGCATCTTCATCTGATACTTCTGCTTCTTCCTCAAAGAAATCCGCCATTCTTTCTTTTCTTTCTTCAGGAAATATACAGAACTTCAGAGCAGTAATGCTGAATTCAAAAGAGAAAAATGAATTTTCAGATGCAACAGACAACCCCAGAACTTACAGATATCATACCTTGGAAGTAGGCATAAAGTTATACAAAACTTATTTGCCCCTCTGTGTCCGTTAGTGGGTTTACTCTTGGATTTGGCGCTGTGCAGTTACAGATGAAAATGGCAGTTGAATAATTCAGATACGACACATTTTACAATTCCCAAATAATGGTAGACTGCATGTAGATTACAACATGAACAATAATTTAACTTGTGGAAAGCCTTTTTTTTTAATTTAGGAATAAGACATCATTTAATGAGGTACAATTGAGATCGAGAATGAATCAAAACGAACACGCGACGTGCAGAACAGATATTTTTCCTAACCATTAATCACCAGTTCATCACAAATCAACAATGTAGATACTATAATGTCTATAGATTCAGAATATAGAGATAATATCTAACTTAAATTCAATATTGTCGATATTCCGGCCTTGAATCTGCGAGTAGATTTCTAGATGCCAAATGTTTCAAGTGGGACCGGGGCCGCCTTATGGCGTTATACATGTGTTACGCAGTGCAGTGCAGGACCCATTGGCATTGCACAATTGCATTGGCTGTAACTTGGAAGCGGCGTTGTTTTCCGCAGTCATCAGACAATAATTTACCCTATAATTCCTTTCACACTAATGTAGAATAATAACGAATATAATAGTAAGAAGTTAAACCTCCTTACCTCTACAGGGAATATATCATAACCCACTCCAAACACCTGGAACTTGACCAAAATGGAAAATTAAGTCAATTTCCTACGATGTTCTGTGGAGAAACTTTGCATTGACGTAAGTGCTAGTGTGCGTCACAGTTTCATTCGATCAATTATCAATGAACAGAGCTAGCTGAGCACGTATGGCTAGCTATGCACACAATTTCAGTTGCACTCTAGTAGTTTGTTATAATTCCTCATTCCGCATTCCGCATTCCAAGTAACGTTACTAACGTAGATCAAGAAAATGATAAAGATGAAAACAAAAGGTATTTAAAAAATAGATATAATATTTCCTTTATCTATGTATGAGCAAAAGGTTAGATTTCGAACAATCAGGAGGCCATAGTCCGGGGGGGTACTCAGATGCAGGTGCGGATCCAGGATTTCTTAGGGGAGGGGGCCCAATTTTTTTTTTTTTTTGCTCCCGAAAATTTGAAAATCGTGCCGGTGAGGCCGAAAAGTCGCTCAGTGGGGGGGGGGGGGGGGAGGGGGTCCTCGAAAATTTAAAAATTTGCAGCCCCCCCCCCCCCCCCGCCCCCTTGAGCGCCAGGGGGGGGGGGGGCAACCCCCAAAAAGGTAAAAAAATCACGTGTTTTTATATGATTTTTTTTCTCAAGACCCCCCCCCCCCCCTGGATCCGCCACTTCTCAGATGTGTCCCCTAAAATTGGGGTGCTTCAAAATCCCTAAAAGTGCCCCACTTTTCATACATTGGGCTTAAACATGGGTCACTATTTCCTTCAGGATAATATCTCACCCATAATTCGCTAAAGTGAAAATTTCAGATACAAAATACCGCCCATATAATGGAAATCATGTCGCTTTTTCATCCAAAGTCCTCGCCGACGTTTAAAGACCTGGAAACCTGATAGAAGTAGAAGCCAAGACTGAGAAGAAGAAGAAGAAGAAGAAGAAGAAGAAGAAGAAGAAGAAGAAGAAGAAGAAGAAGAAGAAGAAGAAGAAGAAGAAGAAGAAGAAGAAGAAGAAGAAGAAGAAGAAGAAGAAGAAGAAGAAGAAGAAGAAGAAGAAGAAGAAGAAAAAGAAGAAGAAGAAGAAGAAACAAACAAAGAAAAATGAGGAGGAGAAGAAAGGAAAAATGTTGACGACAGCAACAATCTATGAAGACAGTACATGTAAAATGGCGCCCTCTGTTGTATTCAACCCTATGTCGACGAAAAGAGAAAAATAAAATGAAGTCCAACCCTAATAAATTGCAAACAACTCTAAAAGAAAACTGAAAAGTCAAAGAAGCAGTCTGGCGACAGCAGTCGGGAGAAGAAAAAAAAATATTTATTTTTAATTGTTTACGTATGTGAACTTCAAATTGACTGAATCGGTAATGTTACTGTGATATTTTCCATTTGTTCCAACACAATAAAAAATGACTGTAATTAACTTTTTTCAGAATGTATATAAATTATGACTTCTTTAGAGAACCTACAATAATATCTTTTGAGGAGTGTCCCAAAGGCACTTGGCAGAAAAACTTTTTTTTGTACACAACAAACTGTCCAGAGAGTTGTCCGTGACTGTTATATACGTCACTATCCAGTGGCAAAATTGCCGATTTGAGATTCGCATAGCTATACTCTCTTATAAATTGGTCCGATTTATTTCAAAATTTCGCCATTCTGTTCCTCTTATTTTTCTGCTTCCATACAATGAACTGACAAGGGTTGGATTGCCCTTTAACCTTTCTTATTTTGTTTAATTGTTTTCTTATATTATTCGTTCTTCTTGGACCCATTGCTATTTTGACTGAAGGTATATAGGTCGTTCAGGTTACTCCAAATAAGGGGGGGGGGGAGGAAGAAAGGAAGAAGATCATTACATTCTAATTGATATAATCATGTCACAAATATTCATATTCAGGAGGGCGTAAGTTTGGATATGGCACAGGGTAAATGGAGGAGAAAAGAAGAAGAAAAAGAAGAAGGAGAAGAAGAAGAAGAAAAGAAGAAGAAGAAGAAGAAGAAGAAGAAGAAGAAGAAGAAGAAGAAAAGAAAAGAAGAAGAAGAAGAAGAAGAAGAAGAAGAAGAAGAAGAAGAAGTAGAAAAAGAAAAAGAAGAAGAAGAAGAAGAAGAAGAAGAAGAAGAAGAAGAAGAAGAAAAAGAAGAAAAAGAAGAAAAAGAAGTCTAATAAAAACAAAATTGCAGTCGAATCCGCATCCCCCTTCTCAGCATCCTTGTTTCACAGTCATTTCCCGATTAAAACCCGTATCTCCACCCCCCCCCCCCATTCCACTCCGGAGCACTCATGCGACGCCCCTGATATGTATTTTGGTCAATGATCCACGTTTCCCCTTTCAAAATCAAGTGTACATTTGATTTATTGGCATGTTGAGTGATATCAAGTTCTTGTATATGATATTTAAGACCAATGATTCAATTGATCCACTTCATAATTTCCGGTTGTGGTAAGTCCTTTAAAAAAATGATAAGCTTTCGTCCATTGTTTCGCAAATGGCTAATAAATTATTGTTAGTACATTCATCTTTCACATTTTGAGGGCATTTCTTTGACGGTTGAATTAGAGAGGGAAAGAGAGAGAATGAGAGAGAGAGAGAGAGAGAGAGAGAGGAGAGAGAGAGAGAGAGAGAGAGAGAGAGAGATGAGCGCACACCGGAAAGGGGGGGGGGGGGGCTGCGGATGTCTTCAGTCGTAAGTATCGTCATTTACTATTACTTTTCTTTGAAAACAAATACAGTCACCAGGTTAAAACACGTTTTATTTTGTTATTTTTCTTAATTTAAAATTTGCCTTTTTATCACACTTTTACCATGCTCTTTACATAGACCTACACGTGATTGCGAATCCAACAATCCGGAGGGCAAACTATAAGCAAAACAGTCATGTACATAATAAAGTTCGGAGAAGAGTAAACAGATAAATCGTTTTATTTAGGGTCTTATAATTACATAATTTCATAATTACGGATGCTTTACTAAGTATATATACATATCAATGTCATGTTTGCACTCTTTTCTTTGAAAACAGATACAGTCAGCAGGTTAAAACATGTTATATATTATTATTAAAACCAAAACAAAATTGCCTCTTTATCACAGCATGGACCATGCTCTTACATAGACATACACGTCTTGCCAATCCAACAATCCGGATGGCAAACTAAACAAAATCATACAAGTACATTTAAGGTTCGAAGAAGGGTAAACAGATACAATGTTTGATTTAGGGTCTTATAATTACAACGACATATACCTCTAAATGACTTAAAAGTGAAATGAAGAAAACCATTGCGAAATCTCTTTCAACAAATTCAACAAGAATAACCTAAACAAGAACTGCCAGTGTTTACTACATAACTTTCGTTTTCTCGAAAATGTGACATTTCAACAATTTTATGCTTAGACAGTGGATGAAAATCTACGACACGTACGTATCGTGTTTTTAAGCCTCCCTAAAGTGTTGGGAGCCCAAAGAATTTGATGGCAAAAATTTACTTCAATTGTATAATGAAGTGAAAGTTGATGTCATTTAACACTGAACTCTGCGAGGATTTTCAGAATAAATGTGTTTGAAGACGAATATTGATGAAAGAATACAAAAATATGGTTTTCTGAGTACAACACAAAACCCAAGTTTTGTATATTCTTTCATCAATATTCGTCTTCAAACATAGGCCAAATTCCTTGCAGAGTTGAGTGTTTAATGACATCCTCTTTCAAATCATTACATTAACTATTCCAACTAAATGGGCAACAATGTTGATATCCCGTTAGATTTTGTTTTGTTTTGTAGGCTGATGAACTCTGAGTGTTGCCTTGTTTTACTCGAAACGAATGCAGTGTTAATGCAATATCTAAGTTTGATGTGACGTAATTTGATTTGATTTAATTTGTTTGTTTTCGGGGAGTATAGACGAGAGTGGTACCATGCACTACTTTTCGAGACCTAACTGAACTTCGGGTGTGACGTCTTAATAAATCTGGTACCAATCGTGAAGGAGTAAGTTTATGTTATGTTTATATATGGAGTCTTGATAAGATGTTAATCGTAATGATGAGGACTTTAGCAAAAATAAATCAAGGGAAAGAGGTAGAGAGGGGGAGAGAGAGAGAGAAAGAGAGAGAGAGAGAGAGAGAGAGAGAGAGAGAGAGAGAGAAGCTCCTTACTCTAGTTCATATATTCAAAATAATAGAAGGTATGTTCATGACGTATTTGTCCTTATAATATTCGGACAATACGGAGAATTTAAGAATGGTCTAGCTGACTCCAGCATGATTAAACTATGTTTTGTTCCCGTTTTTGTTATCGTACGACATAAAAAGCTCACGTTTTCAAAAGAATATCCACATGTTTTCATGTTTTACAAGTATGAAATACCGCCATGACCGTACAAAACTTGATGACAAACTGAAGCGAGTATAGTTATGACGAAATCATACGTCATCGGAAAAAGGAGGTGCCTTTCATGCAAATCACAAAAACTTATTTGATTCAGAATGTAAACATAAAGTGCAGCTCGATCGAGCGCACGTTTATGCTAGTCTACATAATTGTACCCAGATCTTTAAATCATTTTAACGATAAAATAATTAATACGAAAAAAAAAAAAAAAAAAATACAATTTGAGTCATACAATAGACCTTAATCCATAATGTTCTTAAATGAGGAGTATTTAGAGACTGCACCTGTTTTTTTTTACATTATTCTGATGAACAATATTGAAACAATATTATTTTGGTTTAGATAATAGACTAACCTTGTGATGCGTGCGAAGCCACACACAGCAAACTACCGGTGCATTTCACACATAATAACTGTGTCTGGAATGTATGATTTCGCACAGAAAGTAGACAGATCAATTTATGCTTACAAGCGCAGCAGTACAGTTTTATACCAGAGCGTTGCCAAGAGGTGCAAGTTAGTTCCAGCGTACTTATAGAGATTCAAGAATCACCTGTTATAATAAGTGTTTAAAAACAGTCGGGAAATTATTTTTTATCTGCGGGGAAAGGGATATTACTTTTTTTTAAGGTGGAAGGAGGGATACATTTATCCAAAATGACGATCAAGGACGCATTTATGGAAGCGTGGAAGCGGAATTTTGGAGAGTTTCCTCCACCTGGGCTGCTGTTTCTACTGGAGACCACCGCTGCCGAAGCGCTCTCGGGAGGCAAGCGGCAACTCTCGGACATCCAGGTAATGGAGGACGACCTGAAACTCTGCAAGAGCCGCATCTTCAAACTTCGCAGTGAGATCCGGAGGGAGAAATACTGCCAGTCCTGGATTGCCAAGGAAATCATGAAGCGTCAGAGGGCAGAGGAGGGTTTGGAATCGGTGGGATCGGATGAAACCAACAGCATCGATCTCGACAGCGAGGATGGTTTGAGGAGCGGAGACGAGAGCCACGATAGCGATGCGGATATGATAGAACATCTTTCCTTCGAAATTCGGGACATTCCAAAGATAATGCCTATTGTGCCCCCAAGACCAAAACCGACTCGTTCAAATACCCTCACCCAGGACACCAAGACTCCTCTTCCCACGAATGAGGATGAAGACAGTGACAGTAGTGGTGACTATGAAAACGTGGCTTATATATTGGCCACCAGAGAAAATGAACGTAGTTTAAGTCCACTTACCCATGAGAGCAGGGACTCTGATACTGACTTTAACAATGGCAACTTTGAGGTTATGCGTTCCGGATCTTTTGGAAGTAGCCTGGAGGATATGAACATTACCACGGATAAGAAACTCCACATTTTGAGCAACAGATCAGGCGGTTACCTGCCCCCGTCTCCACAGTCTGCACCTCGATCTCCGATGGTAGACTTCGATAAGTTCAGTGAGCAGGGTTACGAGAGCTCAAGCACCACAGAAGATGCCTTGGGAAGCGCAGGTATGTTAATCTCTTATTTCACATTTCACATTTCACGGGTCATTATATTATATTATCATACACCGGTATATGTACATGTAAGATGCCTTTTCTCCACTTCTATGGAGTTTGAGCATTTTTTAAAATTGATTTTGTGATGCATGTTTCTCAGAGAGAACGTTTGCCAGAGAGGTCTTCATGTCCACAATTTACTTTATATATTAAACAGCAGTTGGCAGATAATAAAGAAAAAAAGAAATATGAGAGAGAGAGAGAGAGAGAGAGAGAGAGAGAGAGAGAGAGAGAGAGAGAGAAAGGGGGAAAGGCTTGCATGTTAATATTTAAAGGATAGAGATTTGCTTTTGGGATATTACAGTACCGGTAAACATATTAAAATTGACAGGGTCCTGGAAAAAGCATTACTTTTGAATACACAAGATTGTGGAAGAATGCTGTAGTTTGGCAGTCAGGCTTCATGTTCCAGCTCATGTACCCATTAATTCTTCTCATGATTGGTGTCTTTGTCAGTTTTTCTGGCTCGGCAGTGGTTTGGTTCAATGTGGGATATTCTACTTGTATCGGGAGCTGGGCCCTGTTTCATAAAACTTGTTATCAGTAACAAACGCTAAAATTCAGTGACAAATTTGCTCTCAGTCAATCAAATGTCACAATTTCAGTAGCTTATGACAGTTATGGGAACTTGTTATTGATAACAAGTTTTATGAAACAGGGCCCAATATCGTTTTTTTCCTGCCCTAGATACTTGTAGAAATGTATCATAAGCATTAGCAGCTAGTCCCATATATCCCTGTATCATTGACCCGATCTGTACATGTATAAATATCCTTATTGTTTACACTGCTTCATCTAGATTTCCAATTATATTACACTGAAGTTCCCCTGCCTTGAAAAGTGCCTGTAGGGTACATGTAATTAGGCTACTATTTCAAAACAACAAAACCATAATGCTGGCTAATTATCTAGATTGCCACCATTAATTTAGACATTTTTTCTATGACATGGATTATACCTGAACATACCTGAATATTTAAGATTTATTGCAGTATTTGCACTTTTGCAGTCAACAATAATAGTGGCAATCTAGATAATTTACATTATTTTTGAAAGCTTACATATTAGCACATACCAGTATATATCTTTCATATTTCCAAAACTACAAGTACATCAATACAACTTGAATTAATGAAACATTTCACAATAATATAATGAGTTCTGATAGAATTGTAGGCATACATGTATACAGAATCTTTAAAATGCAACCTCATTTAGAATGCTAAGCAAATTTGAATGCTCTATCTTTGGTCACAGCTACATTATAAACTACATATGTACAGTACATGTACATGTAAGTGTCCCTACAAATATCTGAGATGGGGAATTTTTATAGTCCGAGTGTCTCTAGCTATTGTATTTGATTTACAGAGCATGAACTGTGGAGATATAGACCTACAGTGTACCTGTTTCATACAGCCCTCGTTTCCTATACAGCTTTTTCAATTACCAGCCTTGTTACAGGAAATGAAAAGGGAAAAGAATGTTTTATCTTTCGTTTTGGTGTGAAGAATTTCTTAGTTTTCTTTGACACCTCTTTTCTTCTTCTCTGAATTACCATTTATAAAGAGACATTTTCTCCTTGAAAGATGTATGGAGTATTCATGAAATGTTTGATTGAATCAGTAAAATATCATGTAACTCTGCACTGTCTTGTAGGCAAGTTGTTGCCTACCCATTATTATGTCTCATCTTGTAATCTCAGATCTATGCCATGACGAACATACAGTTTGAATTTGATTTTGATTTACTGGTTGTGTTTGCTTGAATCTTAAAATCCACTATTAAAACATAGATATGTTGATCAAACTACCTTGGAAAAGTCAATTTAAGGCAATTTCAGAAGCTTTGAGCGTCATCTATTGAATTGTGCGAACATGACTGAATGAAGTTCATGTACCTGTATTATGTAATCCAAACATGATTTCTATGGAACATACATGAACAATATGGTATTGTAAAATTTGTAATTGCCTGTAAGTTGATTTTTTTGTGTAATTAGATGCGATCCTGTTATGTCCATATTTCCTGATGTTGTACAACTTGATAAAATAGTACATCAGAATATTGTACAACGATGAGATAATACCACATGAGTTCATTGCTACATAAACAAATATGCTTAATATTCAAAACTTCCGTACGAAACTGAAAGCATTAAGTGCCTCTCAGGATAATTTGAAGGGGAAATAAATGTATATTGCCCTCATTGTGGTTACCGGTACTTAAATTCCCAAGACTGATTTGTAGCAATTTTGTTGTGAAAATAAATACCATCAATTGAATTCAATTCCTGTCCTGTTTTAAGAGGTTTCATTTACAATTCAATTGTAAATGAAACCTTTTAAAACAGGACATTGCTGCTGCTAAATTTAATGACAATGCCACCCATACCCCATATAGAAATCTAAAGTTACATCAAACAAGGCATTAATGACTTTATTACTCTTCAGTCTACCATATTGTAGTATGTTATTTTAATTTTTTTTTTTTGCAAAGGGAGATGCCTTGAGATCTCCAGTTTATCCAAATATCCAATATCCTGTGCAGTTGGCATCAAAGGGGAACAATCAATAGACCAGTTTACGGTTAGCACATGTCCCAAATGACCCCGAATATCCACAGATCTTCAAAACATGAAGATGTCCCGCTTTGTACATTTTGAAATAATCACTCCTACAGCGATGGAGGTGCTATATAAATAGCCTTTGTTTCCCCTTTTCAAAGAATACTTCCACTTGTGTATCATGGAGTACACTGCTTGTGCATAAATGAATAATGATTACATAACTTCATGAGCACGTATCCAGTATTTTGTCTCTGTGTATTTCACAATTTGGTCTGCAATGACCTTTATCTGCTCATGCTTAGACTGCAACTATGAACTGGCTTATTGATTGAAACTGTGTCATACCAAACACTGAAGCATGTGTAAATGCAAATTAAGCCATGAATACTTCCCAGTTAATCAAAATAATGTGGTCTTGAAATTGATAACTGTGAGAATTGCTATGAGAGTAAACATGTGTCAAGTTCATACAAGTATGTGCTCCAGATGCCAGGGAAGTTTGTCTAGTTAGTGATTAACTTGTAGGCAATGATCAATGATACACACAAGCTTTTTAAAAATGGACTTATGGGATCAGGATTGAAATTTTGAGGGTTTGTGTATAAAATTGGGAACTGCATGTTTAAATTTTGGAATTTGAGGGTCTCGAGTTTGGGAGCTTGCATGTATGCACTGGGCAACTCTTAGTACCGGTAACCGAGCCCTGCTGTAGTCTACCTACTGTATGTGTATCTTCTTGACTTCTTCTTCTCGATTTTCGGACTCTCATCCCTAACATCGATTTACAAAAGCCTTGGAAGTGCACTCGTACTTTCCGATTCTGCATCTGGGACTGGGTCAACAAGAGCAGATAACGCTATACCCTTGATATCTTGATTCGGAGGCACGCTGAACAAATTACGGCACAGCATCAGCAAACAGTCTCCAAGAATGGACCACCAATTTGGAAATTATGCCCCAGAAATCTCTCTCCAGACCTCATTGCATGAGCACTCGTATTTTGTTTCAAAAGAGATCTATACTGTATGGGGGAATCTGAGAAATTTGATTGCCTTAACAAATTAGCGTAAATAGTTTAAATTGTGCGTGGCGCAACCTAGGTTTTTTGTTGTTAACATGCTCCCATTCTTAGCATTCTTAAACCGAGCAGTCTAATGTTTTTGCAGAGCTAGCCAGATTTAGAGTGAAAGACAAGAAAAGCTAGTCACAGAAAATAAAAATGTTCGTACAGCCCCCGGCCCATTCAGATGTGGAAACATGTACATTTACGTTGATTAACTGTCAGCTATGTGTATTAAAGTAATTATTTTGTTATTCAGTGAATGTCATACAGCAAAAGAGAGATTGGGCATTGGTTTGTAGAGTATAAAAATCAGTTTGGAATTATCTACTATGAGAAATGAACACAATCAAGCCCTTCCCTTCAAAATGCATTACTTTATAAATAATTATTGTTCATGTATGTCTCCTGTATGGATGTAATTTTGGTACATAATCATCTCAACATATATATGCAATTTCTCTGTATACTGTGTTGTATCCTTTATATTAAGAGAGGAGGGGAGAGATTGGATGGGGACAGAGGAGAGAGAGAGAGAGCTCTAGACAAATACAAATATTGAAAACAGGAATGAGAGTGATTGAGAGTAAGATTATAAGTAACAATAAGTGAAAAAGAACAAGAATTTTATAGAGAGAGAGAGAAACGGAGAGAGAGAGAGATTGAAAGATTGGGAGCATGAAACTACAAGAGGAAAGAGCGTAGATCTCAGTAATCGCTCTCAGCTCCGGCCTGCTGCCCGTGAAGGCAAATTATCTCAGCTTGGCGTTTGGCAGGTGAGGCCTTTGTGAGGAGAGGAGGCTGCGTGTCGAGTTTCGGCCGATCGTCACATTTTGATGACTGTGTTTGCTAACTCGGGTCGCCTCGATGCAATCCATTCCTCGACAGCCGTCTTCTGTTCACGAGTGTGGATTTCATCGCCAGAAGATGTTGAGGGTCCTTTGTCACGCAGAATGTAATAATCAGAAATCATCACTGGATATAGAGAAATGGAGCTTGTAAAAACAACGGAGAAGATTATTATTTTGTTTATCAGAGCATCATTGAATCTGAGTAATCTTTAGAATGACGAGTGTGTTAGTCAAAGAAACTAGTGTCAAATTACATTGTACATGTATATTGCATTATGTTTGAACAAATTTACACAATTTTATTTAATTCAAAGAGCTCATGAAAAATGTACATGTACTCATACTGGGTCTTGAACTCTTTTGTATTTGGCTTTGCATTTGCATTTACATGCATCTTCTTTTTTAATATGGGCCTATACTTCATTCTTCATCAAATGTTTTATTTTATTAGCACTATCATTTATACAAG